TAACCTTTCGTGGTGGCTTTGAAGAAGACCGGCCATTTGTTAAAAGGGGTAAAGGTGCTCTAATGTACAGGACAAACGATGCTAGCTTTGCAGGCTAAAAGAAAACGTTTGAAATGTTGTTGAAGGGAAGAATCTTAAACTATTATTGATATGAAAAGTGCCATTGATAACATCTCTCGTAAATATTGTGTGGAAATAAAGGTTTATTTCACACACAATACACAAAGTGGCATGTATATTGTAAAACCTCACTCACTCACTGAACTATACTACTGGAATAAAGTAACTGTGCATTTTTTTATGTTATGCCATTTTTTTAATGCAAAAGGATAATAAAATGATTTTTGGTGCTATCCTTATCACTGTTTAACTGTTGACAGGATAATATCGAAATCTGTATGATTTGACACGAGGCATCGTGACGCGCCCTTGAAGATAAAGTTAATACATTCATTATCGTGTGTATCTACCATTGGCGTTGATGCAGACTTGACAACGGCGACGTATAGACGACACTTAGCGATTGAAGAAAGCTTTGGGAATGTTGTTCCATGTCTGAACCAACGCTTGTCCCAATTAAGCTAACGTCAATGGCTGATTCCGGGCTGGACGTAAACGTGGCTCCATTCCAGGGCATCCCAAGCGTGCTCGATAGGGGACAGGTTCGGAGAAACAGATGACCAGGGGAGTACCGGAATTCTGTCTCCGGAAATCTGTCACAACACGAGCGACATGTGGACGGGCATTATCTTGCTGAAGAGTGAAGTTATGTGTACGTCTCTGTCTTTGAATGAACGGCTGCACATGATGCTCAATGATCTCATCTCTGTATCGCAGACCTGTCAGATTGCCATTGGCAATGACAAGTTGTGTCAGACCATGAGATGTGATGATCCCCCGTACCATAACGCTGTCGACACCAAACTGTTGACGTTGAACAACGCACGCGTCAACGCACCTTTCACCTCGCCGTCTCTACAGCCTTGCCCTGCCATCTGAGCTGTCCAGATGAAATCTCAACTCGTCAGTGAACAAAACACCATCCAGATCTTGTCTCCTGTACCATAGACGCTGTCTACACCAGGCAAGACGTGCCTGTCAGTGACGTTGGAGCAAAATTAGACGTATTGCAGGCCGTCGGGGCCGGATGATGTGCTCCCTGAGTCGGTTCCGTTCAGTCCTGGAACTGATTGGGCATAAGTTAGGAATGGACCGAGCAGTCTGGAATCGATTTCTTAGATGGGTTAGCCGAATGTCCTTGAAAACGTCTCCAGAGAGATGAGATCGTGTTTCGATGGACACCAAAATGTCTGGCCACTTCATTTTGGGTCATTCCAGTCTGCAGCATACCCATGGCGCGGAGATGCAGATTTTCTCTAAGTTGTGGCATGAAGTGTGTTGACGTGCGCGCACCTTAGCCTGAAATTAACGAGTGAAGTTCATTGTGTACAAAGTGCACTTGCCATGTGCGATACATCACATCAAATTTCATGCAAAGTGCTTTGCTGCATGTTTATTTAAGGCTATTTTATATTAGTATATATTACGACAGTATATATTGTCTCTCATAGGCCTACAGATATTGTAGTGCTTAAAATACCTTGTGGATCACAACTCTGATTACTTCAAAGAAAGAGGTTACACATCTGCATGGTTGGCAGGTTGTGTTATTAATTAATTTCCTGGGTGATCGATTTGTGTCACTTTCCAACCATTGAATCGACCATGACAGCTGTTATTAATGTCTTCATGTTATATTTAGGTTCAATTTGACATATTCATGAGAACAGTTAAATTGATGAGCAAATGAAAAAGAACCATTTAAATCTTTCTTTTGATTTTATTTCATTCTTTACTGGAAAATGTACAGATTTGATTTTTTCACTTGTTATTTTAGGACTAGCTACCATTGATCAGATTGTCAGGTCCAGACTCGATTATTTACAGATCGCCACCATATAACTGGAATAGTGCTGAGTGCGGCGTAAAACTAAACTCACTCACCCATTGATCAATTTTTGCAACACTTCAAGGGAAAAGAAAAGCATTATATGTGTGCTTCATTCAGGGCAATTATTTACAAAGAGATTAACTCATTAGCCTCCTCTAGAACTCGGAATTTAACAGTATAATGATATCATCAGTATTTCTATATCTGAATGGAGAAAATCAGGAGATGTGGCCACGTGGAGAATAATAATTAATCTATTATGGTCTGACCACAAATTATCCCTTATCTTGTACCTGAGGAGTGGTGGTTATGTCAAACACTGTCACTGATAGGGCATGGGTTGTGAGTTGTTTATGGTCCCTGCAATTCACTGTGCAGAGTTGCTTCCCTTGTTTATGCCATGATCCTGTGACTAGTATCGAATCAAGCATCGAGTTCGTGAGTGCCAGTTTCGGTGACAAGATTGTTGACAAATAAAACATTCAAGATGATTTAAAGGCGCTTCACGCTTCATCGTTTGAAGAAATTACAAAGAAACTCTTTTGTGCCGTTATAGATTTTTCTAAAGCATTTGATAAAGTTTGGAGAATTGTGAACCAAATTAAGACAAACTGGTATCAAAGGTAAAATACTGACTTTAATACAAAATATGTATAATGATATACAATTCTGCGTTATGGTATCTAGAATCTGCAAGATCAGATTTCTTTGATTGTCTTTCAAGAGTTAGACAAGGAGAAAACTTGTCTCCTCTTTTATTTTCCTTATTTCTAAATGACCTAGAATCCCACCTAGAAGAGCAAACATGTATTGGTATTGAATTAGAATCAAATAATGATGAGTTTTATTATTTACTTAAAATTGCTAGTTCTATTTTATGCTGACGATACATTCTTCTAAGCTGAAACTCATGATGAATTACAACATATACTGAATACATCTGCAGTATATTGCGACACATGGACACTTAAAGTAAATATTAGTAGGACTAAGATTATTGTTTTTGGTTCCGGACCTGCAGCTAGTTATGAGACATCGTTTACAGTATATGATAATAAGATAGTTCTAAACATGTATAAATACCTAGGAGCTTTACTACACAGAAATGATCGTACTATATGATAATAAGATAGAAGTTCTAAACATGTATAAATACCTAGGAGCTTTACTACACAGAAATGATCGTACTATATGATAATAAGATAGATGTTCTAAACATTTATAAATACCTAGGAGCTTTACTACACAGAAATGATCGTACTATATGATAATAAGATAGATGTTCTAAACATTTATAAATACCTAGGAGCTTTACTACACAGAAATGATCGTACTATATGATAATAAGATAGATGTTCTAAACATTTATAAATAACTAGGAGCTTTACTACACAGAAATGATCGTATGAATTTTGCTGTTAACACATAGCCGATCTCGGTATGAAGGCATCAATAGCGCTACTAAAACATGCTAGAAATGTTAAATTGCCACGGGACCTGCTCCTTTCTGCATTTGACAGATTAGTAGTACTAATATTGATGTATGGATGTGAAATATGGGGACATGAGAAGACTGACATGATAGAAAGAGTACATCTAAAATTTCTTAAATTAGCTACTGTTTTAAAATATAACACCCCTAATTTCATGGTATACTGGGAACTTGGCAGAGAACCAATTCAGCCTCAAATTTCGAAACGACTAATTTCGTATTGGTGTAAACTGACATTATCATATCCAAATAACAAAATAGCAGCTTTATTCTTAAATATATTACTAAACAAAACAAAACATCAAATAACTATGTCTGGCTAAGTCATATTAAACATATTTTCTGTAAGTGCGGATTGCCTGATGTTTTTGTCAACCCTCATCTATACTCAAATTCATGGATCATTTCAAATGTGGAATTTATTTTCAAAGACCAATTTTTACATTCATGGACTAGCGATATGCAAAATTCCTCTAAAGGAATATATTATAAAGTTCTGAAGCGCTCTCCCAAATTTGGACAATAACTACTCTCTCACATGATGTAATATAGCTGGAATAATGCGGATGTGACGTAAAGCCCAACTCAACTCAACTCTCTCAGATGATATTTCTAAACCGATCTTAAAATTTAGAACATGCAACCATAAACTTGCAAAATATCCCAAAAGAACACAGATTTTGTAACTTATGTGATTCACATTTGATTGGAGATGAGTTTCACTATTTGTTTAAATGTAATTATTTTGCAGACACATTGTTGTTAAAAGAACTGGCCAAATTTGTCAAAGTTCCTCAACTTTTTTCAAGTAAAATATCTACCCTTAAAAATGTATCCAAGTTCATTAAGATTGTTTGTGAACACTTTAATTGATGTATCAGTTATCAGTGGTCATCTTGTTGTACATTTTGTATGTACTCCTTTGTTATACTCATGTACCACCAATGGTGGATTATTTTGAGTAATAAAGGAGTGATGATGATAGCTCCAGTGCCAAATTAGCCTGATTATGATCACTGATTCATCAACACTTATTGTAGGACTATTCTTGTACAGTGCATAAATATGAAATGTTTCCTGACATTAGAGATTAACCACAGTGTTATGAAACACTGCCCACTTTCGTTTGTGGGTAATCTTGATTGAAAAAAAATAAAAGAATTAATCCCTCATCTACATGTTTAAACATATATAATCAAATATATTAGCAGTTCTACATCCTTCTGTAATTTGGTGACAAAATGTACCAGAGAAACATTTTTAAAATTCAGCCCTAGATATCAATCTGCCTAAAATAATAAAAAAACAGAAGAATTATTTCAAGCTGTATTTTATTTATGAATCATAATATCCAAATCCCCATCTTTTTGCTAAACATAATGTGCAAACTATTATTATGGGTTAATACAAATGAATAAAATATGTTTTTAGATTGATCCCTACTCGACAAAACGATACTAAAATAATGATAACAATTCTGCTCTCTGCCACTTAATATCAAAATATTTGGAACTATCTGGAAGCATTAAATTTTCTCATTTCGGAAAAGATTTCCCGTCCGTCTCTTAAGCCATGTGCGTTTACCAGTGACATGATATCAGGCACGGGATTGTGTTAATCAAAACTTAATATATTTCTTGTTTGTTGTTAAACTTAGTGAACAGCACAGTTGGAAGGCAGGATGTCCTACTGCAGAAAGGAGGGTAGGTGCCATAATAAGAGTCAAATAAATGCAGCTAGAATGTACTGATAGATCCACTGCAGTCATGGAACGGATCTTGTCTCCGCTTTCGCCGTGACTCGGCGTGCGAGTCTCTTGCTTTTCGAAAACTCTCCTGCCGAACGGAATCTATCTTAAATTACTGTTATCTGTTCGGGCACAGTTTTAAGCGCACAGTGGTTGTAAATATTTAGTAATATATTGTCACCTTTTCAATATTTCATCAGCCATGAGTTTGCATAACATTGAGCGATACGTAAAGTGCGGGTGGTTAATCAAAAAGTTGGATTGGTAATTTGTGTGAGGACGTAGTGACGACTACGTCAATATACGCACCGTTACGCAATAGGATTGTCTTGCCTTGCGCAGAATAACGGGAAAATGTTATTTGATGAATGCGAGGTGCAATACACACCACATACATTGTCCTTGAATACTTATTGAGGGGTGGTTGAGACCATTTACATGTCTATTGGTATAGAGCATCCTTGTTTTATGTGTTTTGAACAGACTCTTGCAGTTATCTGGCTAATCACATGTCAATAACTTTAAAAGACACATGTATCGTAGACAATATGCTATTGAAAGAATGCTGATTATTTCTGCCACATGTTTTGGGGTTGACAGAGTTAGAGTTGGGGTTACCAAACCAAACCATAATATCTTTCTTTGCAGTTCACTTTCATATTGCTTTATTTTTATGTTTTTGATTAATAAAAATAACATATAATGTAATATAAGTGGCTGAGACAACCAGAAGTCTTACTAATTTTATTTATGTTAATCAAATATCTTTTTCATGCACCACTACTTGCTTTTACATCATGAAAGACTGAAAGACGTTACAATGGTAACAAAACTTTGTCTTTTACCCGTCTAGCCGTCCAGCCCCCTCAGCCTAGTTAGCCCTTGTAATTACTGGATGGCAATAGCTTCAGTTACCCAACAACTGGTCTGATGAGTGTTGACAGCACTCGGAATACCTAGACTAAGGAAAATAATTCAGTACAGTTCACCCCTGCCTCTGTCAGTGGTTCATATTTTGACATTTCTCATGTCTGGAGTAATTATTCAGTCTATTACTAGGTTGTTTATTGATGTGGTGAATGTATTTTACCTTATGTAGTTTGCAAATGGCAGTGCAGCAAGACCAGAAAGGCCAATTGCATTGCTAAAAACCTCGATTAAACGATTAACTGATAAAATGTTACTTAATTAATCAATGTTTTCTTGCACAGTCTATTTGTGAAAAGTGTTTATATATGTAGGTTGACTGAAGCATATCGAATACACCCACGTCTAGGCGTCTGTATAAAAGCAACATATTTTGTTCAAACATTAGCTGATAATATGTTGATTGATTGTTCGTTATTGTGTAGCTAAACTGAACTTTTGAAGAACCGTGGCTATCATGAATGTAGACATCATGTGTGCCCTCTCAGCTGACCAGTGAGACTTGATGTTGAAACAGCTGAAACGAAACTATGGAATCAGTTGAGAGACGAAGGATGCAGTTAACTCAGTATCACTCACCTGAGGAGACATTTTACAGGTGCCATAAGTCTCTAATAAACGCTCCGACGCTTATTCTTTGAACAAGTTTCTGAACCCTAGGCTTTTTTCATGCTGGGAACAAGTGATTAAAATCTAGCATCCAGTGCTTATAGAGATCTGGGCCTAGATTTTCGAAGCTCTCTTAGGCCTAAAAAAATAAAGCTTGTGGTTCCGATTTCCCGACCGACCCTTAATATTCCCGCCGACCCTAACGATTTTACTCACCACATAACAAATTAAATTTATTTTCTGACACGTGTAGTGTAAAAATATTTTGCAAAAAAAACCAAAAAAACCTACCTACCTACCCTAGTTCTGAAGTGTAGGAAATCGGAACCACAACATTTATTTTTTTTGGCCTTGGCTAAGAAAGTCACCGTAAGTTAATGTTAATGTATGGCACTTACGACTTATCTTAGCGCTAAGAGAGCTGGCTTTTGGTACTGCGTATTGAGGTTAACTGGCACCTACTAGATAGTTTGTTCCTATTGGAAGATTTGATATTATTATCAGTAAATTGATAGTAAATACTGTTGAAATTTCAGGATTACAAATATATAATTTTTTCTCTGCACCAGGTAAACAGTATTGCTATGTTTCTACCTGTAGTCATGGTAACATGTATCCACACCCAGGTTCATGTCTGTTTCAGGAAAGGACCAGATTATCTTTGCCACTAAGGAGGATCTGGATCAGCCAAGCTCCGCATTGATACAAGTGGAGGAGGAGGAGGAACCGGGTACATTACACATGATAGACTAGCTGACGCACCTGTTACCATGGTTACATGCAGACAGGCAGGCTAGCAGACATACCTCTTACCATGGTTACATACATACATGCAGACTAGCAGACTTTCCTGTTACCTTGGTGACATACAGACAGTCAGGATAGCAGACATACCTGTTGCCATGGTTACACACATACATGCAGACTATCAGAGATGCAGACATACCTGTTACCATGGTTACATACATACAATTATACAGACATACCTGTTACCATGGTTACCACATACCATGCACACATACAGAAATACCTATTACCAAGGTTACGTGCAGACTAGCAGATGCACAGACATGCCTGTAACCATGGTAACATACAGACAAGCAGACATACATATAGACACGTACAGACAAGCAAGCAGACAGGCAGACATACTCTTTAAATAGATACTGTTATAAACACAAACATGTAGATAAACAAGGAAATACCTGACAACACATCTGTGAGTTTTGAGTGTCACCTCGTCAAAACTTCATGTCATGCACTCCCCAAAACTTCTCATGTTAGTGTGTGACTGCTTTATTAAAAATATAGTATTTTTCAGACATCCAGCATGACAAGCTGAATTCAATTTTCTTTTAAATGGGTGGAAGAAAAAGAAGTTATTGGTTTTGCATATTTAATAGTTGATCAATAACCATTATAAATATGTATTACAGGTTAAATAGTTGGTCCCTGACCAATATATGTGTACAATGCTGGTTTGACAGTTGGTCCCTAACCATTATATGTGTTTATTATGCAAACATTTTTTTCGGTTACCTGATTGGTCTAGAGGCGGTCACGTGACCGTCGACAGAAAAGCATATTGACTCCAACCCAGGTCCGACCAAAAGTCATATTGACCTCAGTTACTATGACATCAAGCTATGACGGCATTCACGTCAAGCTATGATGTCATTCTATTGTTTACATGTCACAGTATTGTTGACATAACGTTATTGGTTTGTAGTGAAAATAAAATTACTTTTCTTGACTAAATGGACATGTTTGGGATTTTAGAAGCTTTTTTTCGGTAATTACATAATAAATCAATTATAGACTGGCGAATTCTGTCAATACCTGTTTTTATGGACCCGCGAAAAGCAATATCACCAGTCTATAATTGTATAGTAATGCAGGTTTAATAGTTGGTCCCTAACCAATATATGTGTGTAATGCAGGTTTAATAGTTGGTCCCTAACCAATATATGTGTGTAATGCAGGTTTAATAGTTGGTCCCTAACCAATATATATGTGTATTGCAGGTTTAATAGTTGGTCCCTAACCAATATGTGTATGTATTCCTGGTTTAATAGTTGGTCCCTAACCAATATATGTATGTATTGCAGGTTTAATAGTTGGTCCCTAACCAATATATGTGTGTATTGCCAGTTTAACAGTTGGCCCCTAACCAATATATGTGTGTATTGCAGGTTAATAGTTGGTCCCTAACCAATATGTGTATGTATTGCAGGTTAAATAGTTGGTCCCTAACCAATATGTGTATGTATTGCAGGTTTAATAGTTGGTCCCTAACCAATATGTGTATGTATTGCAGGTTTAATAGTTGGTCCCTAACCAATATATGTATGTATTGCATGTTTAATAGTTGGTCCCTAACCAATATATGTATGTATTGCAGGTTTAATAGTTGGTCCCTAACCAATATATGTATGTATTGCAGGTTTAATAGTTGGTCCCTAACCAATATATGTATGTATTGCAGGTTTAATAGTTGGTCCCTAACCAATATGTGTATGTATTGCAGGTTTAATAGTTGGTCCCTAACCAATATATGTATGTATTGCAGGTTTAATAGTTGGTCCCTAACCAATATATGTGTGTATTGCCTGTTTAACAGTTGGCCCCTAACCAATATATGTGTGTATTGCAGGTTTAATAGTTGGTCCCTAACCAATATGTGTATGTATTGCAGGTTTAATAGTTGGTCCCTAACCAATATGTGTATGTATTGCAGGTTTAATAGTTGGTCCCTAACCAATATGTGTATGTATTGCAGGTTTGATAGTTGGTCCCTAACCAATATATGTGTGTAAAGGTTTGGTTGTCAGCCCCTAACCAATGTATGTGTGTCTTGCAGGTTTAATAGTTGGCCCCTAACCAATAGGTGTATGTATTACAGGTTTAATAGTCGGCCCCTAACCAGTATGTGTGTGTATTGCAGGTTTAATCCTTCCCAACGGAGACATCAACTGGAACTGTCCATGTCTCGGGGGAATGGCGAGTGGGCCGTGCGGCGTGTCCTTCAGGGAGGCCTTCTCCTGCTTCCACTACAGCGAGGCCGAACCCAAGGGGTCTGACTGCTACCAACAGTTCCGCGCCATGCAGGATTGCATGACCAGTTACCCAGAACTTTACCCCTCCAAGGATGACGACGAGGAGGAGGCAGATAAGGAGAACAGACTGAACAATGACGAAACTAAAACCGAGACTTTAGAATCTCTTACAGTAGCCAGTACTGATAAGAAAACAGAAAAAGAATCTTCATGACATAATAACGATTTGTATAGGTAAATCATTGCATTCGCTGTTGTGGTGATCATTTTTCCAATTTGATTTTGGAAATAATATGTTTATTATCATCTCAGTGAAACTGGTGGGTCCAGGATTGGGGTCGGGGATCAGGTACTCCGACGGTTCACTGATTCATAGGTATACATTTGATCGTCACGTCCCCGTCTTCTCGAACATAATTCATTGAAGTAAAGAAGCAATTCAACATGAGAACTCACGGCCCACAAAAGATTTTGACAATTCATACATTTTATTCCTCCCCAACCCCTTGAAAGAATCCTGGATCCACCTAAGATCAATTCTGATAATTCTGATGATTGAATGATTCAGATGCTAACACATGAAATCACAATGTTATGAATGAGTCATTTTACTCTTAGAGTGGTTATGATGGAACATTAGAGGATGGGTGTAGTTGTGTATGTACAGGTGTGTGTGAAGTTCATGCAGGTTACATCTTCCCAAGACACGAGTGTTGGCTGGTCTATAGTAGGGGTGGGTATTGCAGAGAATTTTCATATTGCGATATATTGCGATGCAAAAGCATATATTGCGATATGTATTGCAATATATTGCAAGAAGTATTTTTAAACAAAAAACTCCTTATAATCGAGTTAATGCTTGATTTATAAAGCATGAACACAACAAAATCACTATGCTTGATTAAGCTTTAATAAAAACTTTTAATCATGACAAAATAAAAATGTAAAAAGTGTTTGGCACAAATGAAACAAGGAAATATCCGAAGATTTCCGAGTGTTACGAAGTTTTCCGAATGCAAGTCAAAATACCGGTTTTCGATCAGCGTATCACAATGCGTGTCGTTTTCATGTCTAAACCGGTAAATACCAGTAAACCGGTTATATTGCGCAGCCCTAGTCTATAGCAAAGGTTGGGGTACAATGTGTGAGCCAATTTTCTGGGGTCTCCTGACGTGATATTGCTGGAATATTGCTCAATTGGCATTAAACTAAAACTCACTCACTCACTCTCATATTTTACTACAGAAGAACTTATATGAAATGGGATACTTGGCTCGGATACTGGCTAGTGAACACTCCTGTCTTGTGAAGATGTGGGTGTGAAGTAGCAGACAATGTAGTCACTGTTGCTGCTCAAATGCTAAATTATGAGGTTGGAGCTTTGTATGTAATCATTTTCTCTTTTATACTGCATGTCTAAACCATGTCATCTTGACCTCAGTATCCAAGAGTATTGAAATGTACATCTGTGGTGTGTAGAAGACAGGCATTAGCTGGATTGTTTAGATGACAATAAAACGTGTTGAATGATTTGTCCATTTTTCTTTGTGATGAGGAGATACGTACCTTCGGATATAAACATGGGGGTAGCCTAGTGGGGAATGGGATAGCCTAGTGTGTGTTGTTTGTGTGTTGGGGTGTGTTGTAGCCTAGTGGGGGACAGTGGGAGTACCCAGTGGTTAAAGAGTTCACTCGTCACAAGGACCTGGGTTCGATTCCCCACATGGGTACAATGTGTGAAGCCTATTTCTGTTGTATAGCTGCCGTGATATTGCTGGAATATTGCTAAGAGCAGCGTCAAACTAAACTCACTCATTCCAGTGACGGATATAATAGGCATAGATTCACTCTGGAATGGATTCTCTGTGTAGGATGACTGCAGTACTTGAGAGGTTGGTCTTTAGCAACCCATGCTTGTCGTTAGAGGCGACTGACCATTGGGTGACAAGGCTCACTGACCATTACAGCTCACTGACTTTCACAGCTCACTGACTATCACAGCTCACTGCGCTAGCATATAAATGATGTCTTATCCAAAACCTCACTGGTTCATCTACCTATAATCCACACTGGTGTAACACCTATAATCCACACTGGTTCAACTACCTATAATCCACACTGGTGCAACTACCTATAATCCACACTGGTGTAACACCTTTAATCCACACTGGTTCAACTACCTATAATCCACACTGGTGCAACTACCTATAATCCACACTGGTGCAACTACCTATAATCCACACTTGTGCAACTACTTATAATCCACACTGGTGCAACTACCTATACTCCACAATGGTGCAACTACCTATAATCCACACTAGTGCAGCTACCTATAATCCACACTGGTGTAACACCTATAATCCACACTGGTTCAACTACCTATAATCCACACTAGTGCAATACCTATAATCCACACTGGTGTAACACCTATAACTACACTATCAATCCATAACACTGGTGCAACTACCTATAATCCACACTGGTGCAACACCTATAATCCACACTGGTTCAACTACCTATAATCCACACTGGTGCAACTACCTATAATCCACACTGGTGCAACTACCTATAATCCACACTGGTGCAACTACTATAATCCACACTGGTGTAACACCTATAATCCACACTGGTTCAACTACCTATAATCCACACTGGTGTAACACCTATAATCCACACTGGTGTAACTCCTTTTAATCCCCACTAGTGCTACCTATAATCCACACTAGTAAAACTACCTATAATCCACACTGGTTCAACTACCTATAACCCACACTGGTGCAACTACCTATAATCCACACTGGTGTAACACCTATAATCCACACTGGTGTAACACCTATAATACACACTGGTTCAACTACCTATAATCCACACTGGTGCAACTACCTATAATCCACACTGGTGTAACACCTATAATCCACACTGGTGTAACACCTATAATCCACACTAGTAAAACTACCTATAATCCACACTGGTAAAACTACCTATAATCCACACTGGTGCAACTACCTATAATCCACACTTGTGCAACTACTTATAATCCACACTGGTGCAACTACCTATACTCCACAATGGTGCAACTACCTATAATCCACACTAGTGCAACTACCTATAATCCACACTGGTGTAACACCTATAATCCACACTGGTGCAACTACCTATAATCCACACTGGTGTAACACCTATAATCCACACTGGTGTAACTACCTATAATCCACACTGGTGCAACTACCTATAATCCCTACTGGTGTAACACCTATAATCCACACTGGTGTAACACCTTGATTCAACACTAGTGCTACTACCTACAATCCACACTAGTAAAACTACCTATAATCCACACTGGTTCAACTACCTATAATCCACACTGGTGCAACTACCTATAATCCACACTTGTGCAACTATCTGTAATCCACACTGGTGCAACTACCTGTAATCCACACTGGTGCAACCAGCTATAATCCACACAGGTGTAACTACCTATAATCCACACAGGTGTAACTACCTATAATCCACACTGGTGCAATTACCTATAATCTATAATGCACTCAGGTGCATCTACCTCCACAGTTTTTTAAACTGTCCATAACGCACCAATTGACATATTTTTAGGTTTATATTATGTTAGCAGTACTCCAGCAGAATCACAGAGAGGGACACCAGAAATTGGCTTCACACATTGAACTTGGACGTATAATGCACACTCCTCTACATAGTTGTATTCTTTGGATGGCATTAGCACTATAATACCTGTACGGTTTACATTCTACCCGGAATTACACGGACATTTTATCGCTTTGTCTGCCCTGTCCTTATCTCTAGCGTCCACGGGCAACGGGCTATGGAATATTTTACCAGTCCAACGCAGTTCTCGATGTGTCAATGCATAGATAAGATAAGTGTATGTTGAATCACGCACCTGTGTCCTGCCTCTCACACGGAGACCAACTCACCTGCCCAGGTAACTCATAATACAACAATTAAATTTGTCTCTATACCCAGAAACTTGAGAATTTTAATATTCACCAACAAAACAAACATGTTTCCATTATACGGGAACGAACATTATTCTGAAATATAGGCAAACTAGTTAATTCTACCAACATGTATAAATAGGTCAAGCCATGGCTTCACGGTAATGCTGTTTAACAAACGCCGTTCATATGTGTGTTGAAATCCGAGTAGCATACTGATCATTTCATTTCGTATTATTTGTTTGAAATATAAAAAATATATTGTATATTACCTAACTGAGAGATGGTTTAAAACTGCTCAGTAGTGCAACTTGCAGCTGAGCTCTATGTTTGCGAATATGACCGGGGCACTAAACATGGTTAGTGTTTAGATCTCAGCAGTTGGTTAAGTGGCTGTAATATTGTTTAAACTGTCGGCCATATATAACAGTGACACTGGATGATGACCATCTCAAGGTGCTGACGTGAGGTGAGGAGACGTGGTCGGTTTTATTGCACCAATGCTCATGAATTTCAGTGTCTGTCTGTCTGTGCGTGTATTTATGTCTGTCTGTCTGTCTATCATGACGCATCGTGCACGCAACTCTTAGTCACACCACACTATTATTTCTAGTTTTATCCCCAAATGCCGTGAACCAGGCAGGGAAACATCAAATATCTTATTTTCGGTGTTTTGATCGGAACTCGGGATAGAACCGCTGACGTACCTCACTCCGAGCTGACACTCGATCCACTAGGCCACGGAGGCGGCCAAACAGGGTACTGAGCGGCGGTCCCTTAACTACAGGGTGTCAGATTTGGGGTGTTTGTCTCAACTAAGTCTTCAGTGAGTGAGTAAGTGAGTGAATAAGTTTATTTTAACGCCGCTTTTAGCAACATTCCAGCAATATTCCAGCAATATCATGGCAGCGGAAACCAGAAATGGGCTTCACATATTGTACCCATGTAGGGAATCGAACCCGGGTCTTCGGCGTGACGAGCGAATGCTTTAACCACTAGGCTACCCCACCGCCCCCTAAGTACTTAAGATGCATAATATATTTTCCCAAAAGTGCCAACCAAACTTGGTGCACACAAAAATCTCCAAATAACAACTTCTTAATAACAACAGACACATACTTATCAATACAATCAATAAACAGACTGTTGGAATATAAGCAATCTTTAAAACTTGACTTAATATCTTGATGGGACTGATGCTTGTTCAGGGCCTTGATGCTTGTGTCTGCCATCACGTATTGCGGAATGTTTCAGTACTTGTATCTAGACTTGCTGAAATGAATTGTTTATTCTATGTTGATGTCAAGGTTGTTGCCCTATCGGTCTTGTTGACTTCAATTCCTACAGACGCTTAGTTTGTCCTGCTTATCTTGAACCAGTAGATCTGGACAGGGGATCAGCGGTGGTCGGGTTAGCAGATTAACCGATTACATGACAATCCATAGTGTGGTCTCAAAGTGATAACGGCTTGAAGAATATACATTGTATGTCGGTGACTTCGGTGTCATCAGCAGGATACTAGGAGAGGTTCACACACACCGAGTCGACGATGTCCACGTTGAAAGAACTGTGTATGGGACTACCTCTACACCCACTCCCTGACCGTCGCGACAGGGACGACTCGGTCCCCCACGCACCTGTCCGGACCCCAAGTCTCACACATGAGGACCAGAGGGTATGTACAGTCACGTGTTGCCTCGTGTCTATCTCAGGTAAATTCCAGTTCAGACTGTGCTAGGTTGCTCACAAGTTCCTGACCTCGTTAAAGACGTATTGTTCCTACATTCGATTTCATTATACACCATGTTGATCAGTTAGATGATTGAGTGAGCTTAGTTTTACGCCGCTTTTAGCAATATTCCAGCGATATCACGGTGGGGAAAACAGGAAATTGGCTTCTCACATTGTACCCATGTGGGGAATCGAACCCGGGTCTTGGGCATGACGAACGAACGCTTTAACCACCAGGCTACCACACCGCCCCCGAAGTTGATCAAATGCACACTGGCAGGTCCACTGGCATGAAGCCGTTAAATATGCCGAGCTGATTTATCGGAATTTGTTCCCGCTTGTCAAATAATTATACTATTTACAATATTATGTTCAGTAATTATTCGTCTAGAATATATCCCATTGTCCCCGACGGAAATCTCTGCAGTAGTACACAAGTAAATCTCCAGCTGGGCTCCATGTTTAGTTGGACAGTAAGCACCGACGTAAAGCAGACAAATATGTTCAAACTAGTTTATACTGGCTAATATAACAGTATAGTGGCCCTTTAGATTTATGGTTTGATGAGATTAATATATTGTTCATTGTCCTATCTCCATTAGAGTCCAATGTGCCATTCTTGAATCATAAACATGTTTGACATCTTAAGTAAACATTAGGTCTCTGATAACTGATTTATAAAAGTTCTGATAACTGATTCTGTATAAGTTACTGATAACTGATCATGTACAAGTCACTGATAACTGATTGTACTGCATAAGTCACTGATAACTGATTGTACTCCATACGTCAATGATAACTGATTGTACTACATAAGTCACTGATAACTGATTGTACTCCATAAGTCTCTGATAACTGATTTTACTGCATAAGTCTCTGATAACTGATTGTACTGCATAAGTCACTGATAACTGATTGTACTCCATAAGTCTCTGATAACTGATTGTACTCCATAAGTCACTGATAACTGATTGTACTGCATAAGTCTCTGATAACTGATTGTACTCCATAAGTCTCTGATAACTGATTGTACTCCATAAGTCTCTGATAACTGATTGTACTCCATAAGTCACTGATAACTGATTGTACTGCATAAGTCTCTGATAACTGATTGTACTGCATAAGTCACTGATAACTGATTGTACTTCATAAGTCACTGATAACTGATTGTACTGCATAAGTCTCTGATAACTGATTGTACTCCATAAGTCTCTGATAACTGATTGTACTTCATAAGTCACTGATAACTGATTGTACTCCATAAGTCTCTGATAACTGATTGTACTCCATAAGTCTCTGATAACTGATTGTACTCCATAAGTCTCTGATAACTGATTGTACTGCATAAGTCTCTGATAACTGATTGTACTCCATAAGTCACTGATAACTGATTGTACTGCATAAGTCTCTGATAACTGATTGTACTGCATAAGTCTCTGATAACTGATTGTACTACATAAGTCACTGATAACTGACATAAGTCTCTGATAACTGATTGTACTGCATAAGTCTCTGATAACTGATTGTACTGCATAAGTCTCTGATAACTGATTGTACTCCATAAGTCTCTGATAACTGATTGTACTTCATAAGTCTGATAACTGATCGTACTGCATAAGTCAATGTATTTAATATGACTGAACACACGCAGGCACGCACGCACGCACACACACACACACATATGAACCAATTCACCGAGCATGACCTCCCGTAACATTACCTCATCACTACAAGCATGTGTTTATGACGGCTTATATTCATTGATCGAAGCCTGACAGTTTAATAGTCTGTCTGAACTTGGACAGAGATATAGTGACGCACAATGACGCTGCCCAGCCAACAGTTGAGTGAGTAACATTGTACGTTCGCTGCCATTAACAATATTCTAGCAATAATCATGGTCCAGACTCGATCATTTACAGGCCGCTGTAATATTGCTGAGTGCGGCGTAAAACTAAACTCTCTCACCCATGGCGGTGAAGCTAGAAATGGACTTCACAAATTGTATGAATGCCTTCTAGAAAGTGGCCTAATGTATATTGGGGGCTACACTTTCTCAGTAAAGTACTGACAAAAAGGGGGTTTGAGTTCTTTTTGGGGTTGAGTTCCATCCGGGATTTGGACACACGCTCAGAGTGAGTCGTCTACTCGCAAGCCATATGACAGCGATTGTTGGGATCTCACTCGTATTTTTATAGTTAAGAGTATTTTCGTGTGTCCGAGCTCAGATGTTTGTTTGTTCCCTGGCTGCAGCTGGCTCTGGAGAACGCTCTGCGGTACTTCCCTCCTGGCCTCCATGATGTGCTCGCCCCGGAGTTCGCCCAGGAGCTCCGAGAGTATGGACACATCTACATGTACCGATTCAGGCCTGATGTGGAGATGAGGTGAGTCACTTAGTTCTTCTTGATGAGGATGTGGGACATTTAGCAAGTGCTTCCGGAGAACCCGATTCCACCTTTGGGTCATTTAGTACTCGCTTTCCCCGTTAAGATCCGGGTAAGAATTGATCTTCAGTAACCCATGCTTGTTGTAAGAGGCGACTAAAGGGATCGGGTTGTCAGGTTCGCTGACTTGGTTGACACATGTCATCGTATCCCAGTTGCGTACATCGATGCCCATGCTGTTGATCACTGGATTGTCTGGTCCAGACTCGATAATTTACAGACCGCCGCCATATAGCTGGAATATTGCCGAGTGCGGCGTAAAAGTCAACTCTCTAGAACTCGCTTCATCAACGTCTGGAATACAAACAACTCATACGTCAGATAATAGTAATCATCAAAACAGTCAAAATCATAACCATAAATGTAAAACACGCTCATGAAAAACTATGGCAGTCACCATGTATATGTGTGATAAAATTGTTAATATTGACCAGTCTTAATCTTATCTCGTGATTGTGCAAAATGTCTGTATGTGTACGTGTCTGCTACGTTTGTTTAGCTTGCATTGTTTAAATTAAAATTTCATTTTCGCACCGGATTTCACTGCGGGGGACACCAGAAATGGGCTTCACACATTTTACATTGTGGGAATCGATCCCAGGTCTTCGGCGTGACGAGCGAACCTTTCCCCACTAGGCTACCCCACCGCCCCGTGGGGATTCATCGCACCCAGTCAGATCGAGTGTTCAATACGGTGTTGCATGTTCCAGAGCCTACCCCGTCGACGAGTACCCGTCCAGGAGTCGCCATGCCGCCTCCATCATGCACATGATCATGAATAACCTTGACCCTCACGTGGCACAGTTTCCTCACGAACTCATCACGTATGGTGGAAATGGACAAGTATTTTCTAACTGGGCTCAGGTAGATATGATATGTTATTGTGTAATTTAAACACGTTTCTGTATCTTTCGTTATGTCAAGTCCAGCTTTCTTGGAGTTTAATTGAGTTTAAATGCAGGGCATCTTTCGTTTCTGAGAACTTAAACCTAAGTCAAACCCTTCGTAGTTATCCTTTATACCTTAGATATTCATTATCCTCCGTTACTGGACATTAAACCTAGGCCGTGGTTCACCTTCCTTTTTCTCAGACGTAAAACCCGGCCGTGGTTCACTTTCCTTTGTTCAAACGTAAAACCCAGCCTATGATTCACCGTTCCTTTGTTAGACGTAAAACCCAGCCCATGGTTCACCTTCCTTTGTTAGACGTAAAACCCAGCCTATGATTCACCTTCCTTTGTTAGACGTAAAACCCAGCCCATGGTTCACATTCCTTTGTTAGGCGTAAAACCCAGCCCATGGTTCACCTTCCTTTGTTAGACGTAAAACCCAGCCCATGGTTCACCTTCCTTTGTTAGACGTAAAACCCAGCCTATGATTCACCTTCCTTTGTTAGACGTAAACCCAGCCCGTGGTTCTTTCCTTTCCTTTGTTAGACGTAAAACCCAGCCTATGATTCACCTTCCTTTGTTAGACGTAAAACCCAGCCCATGGTTCACCTTCCTTTGTTAGACGTAAAACCCAGCCCATGGTTCACTTTCCTTTGTTAGACGTAAAACCCAGCCCATGGTTCACCTTCCTTTGTTAGACGTAAAACCCAGCCCATGGTTCACCTTCCTTTGTTAGACGTAAAACCCAGCCCATGGTTCACCTTCCTTTGTTAGACGTAAAACCCAGCCTATGATTCACCTTCCTTTGTTAGACGTAAAACCCAGCCCATGGTTCGCCTTCCGTTTTTAAATGTAAAACCCATTCCATGGTTCACATTCCTTTGCTAGGCGTAAAACCCAGGTCTCAAGCATCACATACAACACATTCCCTTTCGGGTGAATAAAGTATTATTATTATTGTTATTATCATGACCTTCTGAAGTGTTAACCTCAGAGTATTGGATACCCTGTCGATCTCAGTAGGTAATCCGGTTCCTTTGTATCAATACCTTTAATCACAAAATAGGTTAGCGTATTTGGTCCCTGTAACTACTTTTATCTGTGCGAAAGTCCGTGGACAGTTGAGTCTATCCGAGACATGTGGCCTCCTGGTCTCGTCGTGAAGTATCAAGAGGTGGTGAACATTACCAAACTCACCCACTCAACCACTGTGATGACAGTTACATATATTTGACATTGCAGTTCTGGATCGTAATGAGCTACCTGTCCAAGATGACCGATGACCAGACGCTGGTTCTGTACTCCGGCCACCCCATGGGGCTCTTCCCCAGCAGCCCCTCCTCCCCCCGACTCGTCGTGTCCAATGGAATGGTGAGTTCCTACTACCCTCACTGTAGCAGCCCGATCGACAAATTAATCTTAATTAAACTTCAATATCTGATCATACGAGAAATAGTTCATTGTATATTTATTTCGGCTTTTTTGTCTACAGCCAAGAGGGAACACACACGTGGCCTCTGTGCACCAATTTACAGTTTGTGCTTATGTATCTGTGATAAAATAGATATTGGTGGGCAAACTACTAAACTCACCACATCCCAAACACCACATCTCAAACACCACATCTCAAACACCACATCCCAAACACCACATCCCAAACACCACATCGCAAACACCACATCGCAAACACCACATCGCAAAACCACATCCCAAACACCACATCCAAAACACCACATCTCCAAACACCACATCTCTAAACACCACATCTCAAACACCACATCCCAAACAAACATCCTAAACACTACATCCCAAACACCACATCCAAAAACACCACATCTCAAAACAACTCACATCCCAAACACCACATCCCAAACACCACATCCCAAACACCACATCTCAAAAACACTACATCCCAAACACCACATCCTAAACACAACATCTAAACACCTACATCCCAAACACTACATCTCAAAACACCACATCCCAAACACCACATCTCAAACACCACATACCCTCAAACACCACATCTCAAACACACTACACAAACACTACATCTGCAAACACCACATCCCAAACACCCACATCCTAAAACTACATCCCAAACATCATCTCAAAACAAACACCACATCTCAAACACTACATCTCAAACACACTCACCACATCTCTAAACACCACATCTCAAAACAAACACTAAACATCTCAAACACCACATCTCCAAACACCACATCCCAAACACCACATCCTAAACACCACATCCCTAAACACTCACATCTCAAACACCACACATCCTAAACACTACACAAACACCACATCCCAAACACCACATCTCAAACACCACATCCCAAACACCACATCTCAAACACCACATCCAAAACACCACACATCTCAAACACACTACATCTCAAACACCACATCCCAAACACCACATCAAACACTCAACACTCAAACATCTCAAACACTACATCCCAACACACACTCACATCTCCAAACACCACATCCCAAACACTACATCTCAAACACCACATCCCACATCACAAAATAATTCACATCTCAAACACTACATCCCAAACACCACATCCCAAACACTACATCTCAAACACCACATCTCAAACAACACATCCCAAACACCACATCTCAAACACTACATCTCAAACACTACATCTCAAACACTACATCTCTAAACACACTACATCCTAAACAACATCTCAAACACTACACATCTCTCAAACATCATCTCAAACAACACCAAACAACATCATCAAACACCACATCTCCCAAACAAACAAACACACATCTCAAACACCACATCTCAAAAACACCACATCATCTCAAAAACATCCTAAACACATCCCAAACACTACATCTCAAACACTACATCTCAAACATACATCTCAAACACTACATCTCAAACACCACATCTCTAATCCCAACATCTCAAACACACACATCAAACACCACATCTCAAACACTACACAAACACTACATCTCAAACACCACATCTCAAACACTACATCTCAAACACCACATCCCAAACAACATCTCAAACACTACATCCTCAAAACCACAACACCAAACACATCATCTCAAACACCACATCTCCAAACACTCACATCTCAAACACCACATCTCAAACACTACATCCCAAAACACCACATCTCAAACACCACATCTCAAACACCACATCTCAAACACCACATCCCAAACACCACATCTCAAACACCACATATCAAACACTACATCTCAAACACCACATCCCAAACACCTCAAACACACTAAACACTACATCCCAAACACCACATCTCAAACACTACATCCAAACACCACATCTCAAAACCACATCTCAAACAACACCACATCTCAAACACCACATCTCAAACACCACATCTCAAACACCACATCTCAAACACCACATCCAAACAAACATCTCAAACACTACATCTCAAACACCACATCTCAAAAACACAAACACACATCCCAAACACTACATCTCTCAAACACCACATCCCAAACACCACATCTCAAACACCACATCTCAAACACCACATCTCAAACACCACATCCCAAACACCACATCTCAAACACCACATCCCAAACACCACATCCCAAACACCACATCTCCAAACAACACCAAACATACATCTCAAACACCACATCCCAAACACTACTCACATCCCAAACACCACATCTCAAACACTACATCCCACACTACATCTCACCACATCTCAAACACCACATCCCACCACATCTCCAAACACCACATCCCAAACACCACATCTCAAACACCACATCCCAAACACCACATCCCAAACACCACATCTCAAACACCACATCCCAAACACCACATCTCAAACACCACATCTCAAACACCACATCCCAAACACCACATCTCAAACACCACATCTCAAACACCACATCTCAAACACATCTCAAACATCATCAAACACCACATCCCAAACACCACATCTCAAACACCACATCCCAAACACCACATCTCAAACACCACATCTCAAACACCACATCTCAAACACCACATCCCAAACACCACATCTCAAACACCACATCTCAAACACCACATCCCAAACACCACATCCCAAACACCACATCCCAAACACCACATCCCAAACACCACATCCCACATCTCAAACACCACATCCCAAAACACCACATCTCAAACACCACATCTCAAACACCACATCCCAAACACCACATCCCAAATATAATTGACACTGTATGCATCAAGCAGTTGCTAATATTTTATCACAATCAGAAAAGCATGAATGTTATTTTGAAACACAATTTTTGTCACGCCCATTTCCGCGCACCTGTTGTTAAGGCCGATGTCTCTAAATGTTGTTGCGTCGGACAAAGTGAAAAAAACAAAACTGTCATGAACATACCTCACATTATATGTTTCCTAGCTACAAATACGGTGTACAATCAAGAGATGGTCCAAATATCAACATAAATTCAAAGAAAAGAAACTGAGAAATTGTAGAATTATACGAAACCTACCTGTAGGTTGAAATTGGCTTATAAATCTACGTACAGTCCGTTTAGCTGAAAAGCGGACCGATGAATTGCAATCTAACTCGAAAACTAATAAACATAACATACTCAATGAAACGCTGATCATAATCAAAACATCATACCCACTCTGTGAGGTTTTTGCAGAATTTTTGTCCTAAAAAATAAAAAAGTTGTTTAACAAACTATCATTAAAATATTGACACAGTTCACTGTTTGTTACGAGGGAGGAGTGCAGAGAAAGGGACAGCCAGGTGTTAGAGAAGAACGTTCACAGACAAAGTAATGTATTCATTAACCTGTGTTGTGTGTTCCATCCGTTCTCGAACACCTAGCTGTCCCTTTCTGCACTCCTCCCTCGTAACAAATACTGAACTGTGTCAATATTTTAATGATAGATTGTTAAACAACTTTTTTTATTTTTAGGACCAAACTCTGCAAAAACCTCACAGAGTTGGTATGATGTTTTGATTATGATCAGCGTTTCATTGAGTATTTTCTATTTATTAGTTTCGAGTTAGATTGCAATTCATCGGTCCGCTTTTGATCCAAACGGACTATTTTTTTATAGTCTCTGAAAGGAATGGATTATTCACGTGAGAGAAAAGCGCATGCGTACTAGCATCATTCTTCGAAAACTGAATGGACACATGAATGGACTATTCATATTTAGGTGGGGTAAAACGAGTGCTTTGGGAGGTCTGTTAAACAACTGTGAATATTCCATTCCTTGCAGAGACTACGTAGCAGTATCCTAAAACCTACATTCTACTACGTCTCTGACGTCAGTCAACAGCAAATGCTTCTGGGTCTGGCAAAAAGAGATATATGGTTATACTTGATAGTTTGACCTTGAGACAAATCCGTCAACATTAGGAGACTGATTTAATTTTTACACATTCTAGAGAATACTTCACACTGCAGTTTCCATTCTGTTTCTTTGCGAATTTAAGAGACTCAAAGTCCGCCTCAACATTTTAAATACCAGGTATATGAGCAGAAGTCAACCAAACATTTTCAGACATGCAGTATTCCCATATGTCTTGTAACCTTATTACACAAATTAGAGTGACTAGTTCCCATATGAGAGATACAAGAGATAGCAGTAGTGTTATTACTAAGGACTCAGACACTGACCTCTTAGTTCCCTATGAATATTTTTTAATGCCATTAAGATTGCATACAACTCCAGGTAATGTGATATGCAGACATGCTTCCTGAGGGATCCACTGCACCCCCTCAACACCATCAACCATTACACCCCAGTCTGTGTGGCTAGCATCAGTAGTGAGAATATACATTAGGGACAGCTCTAATTTCAATATTGTAGTATTTTCTATTTCTAACTGTCTATAATACAGAGGTCCGTACATAACACCAGGGAAACTGGCTACAAAGACACAACCACTCTTGCAACGTTTGATAGAAGGGAGATAATTCTGTGTAATTGAGCGGAAGTTATTAATTTTTTGGCTTTTTCGGGTGGAAGTCTCACAGTCAAGTCAACAGAATTGAGAAAAAAAATTAAGAAAACACTTTCCTGTGTAGGTTTGAATACAGACTTGTGTGGGTAAACAACAAACCCCACTCTATTCACAGTGGCAACAGTTTGTTTAACATGTTCCTCACAATCATCAGGATTTCCTCCAAAAAAGATGGAATCATCGATATAAGTAGTGATTGTTACAATTAACCTTTAGCCTACTGTCTGTTAGTTTTCTGAAATTAATTAGTAATCTAAAGGTTAATTGTAACAGTCACTACTTATGCTACTACTAGTACCCAAAGTGGTTTTACATTTCCAAACAGTTCTTTTAAAATTTCATAATCTCAACCCTATCCCTCCAATATGAAATGGCCATTCCTTTAAAAACACAATTACACGTTTTTGGTTTTTTTTATGAATCTATGTTTGTTGCAGGTGGTGCCCAACTACTCGTCCCGAGAGATGTACGAGAAGATGTTTGCACTGGGTGTTACAATGTGAGTAACAGTTGGTGTTCAGTCCTGGATAAAACCCATCCCTAATGTATTTAGACATAAACAACAACTAAACTACTTATTGGACTCATTTCGCGTGATTCTGGTTCAACTAGTAAAGGAACTAATGCCAGTAGCTTAAATCATCGGTTTGTATCCTTGAGAAGTGAGTGAGTATGGTGTTACGCCGCCATTGTCAATAGTCCAGCAACATCACGGCGGGGACCCCAAAATGGGCTTCACACATTGTGTCCATGAGGGGAATCGAACACGGGTCTTCGACGAAGTATCCTTGAGAGGAATCCATGAACCAATGATTTATAAACAAATATCCATCAACGAATCGTGCCGTGTACTGTTTTATGATATTTACACCTGACATGACACCCGGTGTTGTAGGTACGGGCAAATGACGGCAGGGAGTTTCTGCTATATAGGACCGCAGGGCATCGTCCACGGAACCACGGTGAGTTCTTGTCCCCACCCCTCTACCCCAGACTCTACGTTCTACAAGATGGCTGCCTGCTCGTGTAGGTGGTACCACACGTGACTTGTTGATGTGTTTGACTGAGTAAAAGGTGCAGGTACTAAAATTGGGGTTTTGGGTGATTGCAGTCATGAGGTGGGTAGAGATGCGCTTCTCAACCATTGTAACCATTTCATTAATTAAAAAAAACTTTAAATATCGAAATGCTATTGTCATGCTTACTGAACTGAATTAAAAACCAAACAACGTCGAAAAGAAGTTAGGTAAGCCTTAATACAGCCACCAACAATGAAACTGAAAGCATTTATGCAACAGAAAGATTTAGGTTTAGGCTAGTTGACAGGGTTTACAGATAGTATACTGTATGCCTGACTTGACTGTTAATGGATAACGAGATCGGGTGGTCAGGCTCGTTGACGTGGTTGACATGTCATAGGTTACCAATTGCGTAGACCAATGCTCATGCTGTTGATCACTGGGTTGTCTTGTCGAGACTCGAATATATACAGACCGCCGCCATGTCAGTGGAATACTGAGTGCGGCGTAAAACAACAACCAACCAGCTGATGTTGATGTTCCTGTTGGTTGTGACACATGTACTTGCAGCTGACGGTGCTGAACGCGGCCCGGAAACACATGGGCACAAACAATCTGGCTGGCAAGGTGTTTGTGACGTCAGGCCTAGGGGGGATGAGTGGAGCCCAGGCCAAGGCCGCCGTCATCTGTGGGTGTGTCGGAGTTGTGGCAGAGGTACGATGTCCATGTATATAAGTTTTATATATAACATGTGTGTTTTATTTGGGATTAAACTTTCTTAGCAAAATACAGATTCTAGTACTTCTGGGGGTGGGGCCCATCCGGGATTTGAACCTCGGTGGCTGAGTGGGTAATGGGTAACCGCTGGTGTCACCCGCCGTTATGTCTTGAAAAATAATGCTTAGAGCGGCGTAAAACTAATAGGGGTGAAACGGTATACCGCGGTATTTTGCCTTTGGTTCGGTATACCGTAATGCATTCCAAAGATTCGGTATTTTCGGTTTTCGTGCCGTTATTTCTATCTAACGACAGTTTTATTCATTCAAAATAACAAAGATTATGGTTACTTTTTAAAATGTTTTTAAACAATGCAAGGGTTGGCTCTTGTTGTCCATGTATGATCTGCATTATCATCATATCTCATATACCGAGCCGAAACGGACCGAACCGAAGGCCTTGTACCGTAATACGTACCGTACCGTGGTAAGAGCGTACCGTTTCACCCCTAAAAACTAAAGCCACTTACTCTTTCTCCAGGTGAGTCTGGAGGCGATACGGAAGCGATACAATCAGGGCTGGCTGATGAGGATCACCGATGACCTGGACGACTGCGTTGCCATGATACGCCATGCACGGAAAAAGAAGGAGGCGTTTAGTCTTGGTTACCATGGCAACATTGTTAGTCTCTGGTAAGGTTTGTGAACGACTGAGATATACGTCAACGTCGGCAATATTTTAGCTATAAAGTGGCGAATATGATTGACGACAATTCGAAGGTTGTAAAGTAGCTGTCGGGTCCGATGTTGTTGCTGCAACTATATCATATATAAAGTAAACTTATACTTGAAAGATGTGTTTGGTACAACGTGTTCAAGAAATTAAATTCAAAGCATGTTTAATGCCTATCCTGACACTTCTAATAATTCCGAGTATCCCACGTAAGAATGTAGGAAGTGCATTGATTTTATACTTAATACACCCGCGAAGATCTGGTTTAGACTTGGTCTTCAGCGACCCATGCTTGTCTCCACATAATCCCGACCAGACAATCCCGTGATCAACATCATGAGCGTCGATCTACGCAAATGGGATACGATGGCATGTGTCAACCAAGTCGGGTCTGACCACCTGATCATATTAGTCGCCTCTTACGACACACATGGGATCGTCACGGGTCACAGTGCAGAATGAGATCAATGTATTTCAGGGAAAGACTGGCCGATGAATATGAACAGACAGGTGACCTACTGGTGGAGCTGGGGTCAGACCAGACGTCGTGCCACAATCCCTACTTGGGAGGGTACTACCCTGTGCAGGTAACTTCTATACACGGAGACATGACAGGGTGTTCATAATACGAGAGAGAGAAATGTCGTTTATTCACATCACTTACCTCTATTACGTAAATATACTGAACAATACAATAAATGTCCCCTTATTTTCTTGTTCAGTATACATTGTTATTTCGGGCGATGGGTAGCCCACCTGTAAAACCGTGCGATCGGAAAGCCTGGGTTCGATTCCCCACATATGAAATGCAAATGTGGTAGCTGCTGTAATGCTGCTATAACATTGTTACAAGCGACAGAAAACACAAATTGAGTGTTTATCGGTTTATATAAGTACTGCCTACACGTTATGGGAATCATGAACTGAAGTCATTGTAAAGCAGCAATATTTTTCTGGAGAACATACTTGCTGAAAGTGGTTTTCTGGATGCATCAGCACAGGTCGAATATCTTATAATCTAACATAGTTGTCAGTGAGTGAGTTTAGTGTCACGCCGCTTCTGCAATATTCCAGCAATATCACGGCGGGGGACACCAGAAATGGAATGGAGGTGAGGTGAAATTGGGTTTAACGTCGTGCTTGAGAATATTTCGCTCATATGACGACGTCCATGCGTGTGTGTGTGTATGTGCGGCTGCCTGTACTAGCCCAGACTGAGCTGGTTTTATGGTGCTAGCCCACTGAGATACCATACCGCAGTGAAGCATGAATACCCCACTCAGACACATTATACTGACTCCGAGCCGACCAGTCCTAGTTGTGCCCATTAATGCCGAGCGCCAGGCAGGGACCAACAAGTAGAAATGGAATGGAACACATTGTACCCACGTGTCTAAGATAGCAGGGTAGACTACGTTTATAACGAACACGCTTATGTCGAACTAACAGATACAACGAACTGCGTTTGAGTCCCCGTGACATGCTGTACACTTCAGTAGAAATGCCTATAACAAACTACGGCTATTACGAACTAAAATGACTTCTTTGATTTCGTTATAACCGTAGTTAACTATATTTATCCAGCCTGTCAGCATATATGCCCTTGGCCTTTCGCTTCGTTTGGTTTTGAAAGTGACGTGACCAGTTTCTTACTGAACATATAATTTCGTTCGCACAGTTGAGTAACCTGATTGGGCGGCTAGTGTGGGTTCGTGCGAATCGTGTTAATAACTGTACAGTGTTGGCAGATGGGTCTAGGTTGTCATAGCGATATGAAGAGTCCTTGGGTTATCGAGGATGAGACTGCAAATGCATGCTGTGTTTCTTAGGTGCAGTATGACGAGGCTAGAGAAATGATGCACACAGAACCTGGAAGATTCAAGATCTTGGTACAAGAGAGGTAATTATTATCACTGAATGAGTGAGCTGGTTGGACGGGGTTATATCAAGGAGTGCTAGCTTCATGTGATACTGACAAAAACCAGTCATAATACTGGATTCGAACCTACCGTATGTGTATCCGGACACGACCAAGAGACGCAATTCTGTATGGTACGCCTATGTCTACAAATCCAGAAACTCGTCAAAAGGAGTCGGTTAAATATGTGTGCAAATACATACAACTGGGCGGTATGTGTTGGTGGATGAGTGAGTGAGGTGAGTTTTACGCCTCTTTGAGCAATATGTCAGCAAAAGAACGTCTGGGGACACCAGAAACGCGCTTCACTCATTGTACCAACGTGGAGAATTGAACCCTGGTCCTCGGCGTGACCAGCGAATGTTTTTACCTCTAGGATCCCCAACCGGTGGGCGATGGACTGTAAATGTCAAGTTTCTATGGACGTACTTTTTATGTCCTCTTCAAATTTTGTTTTTGATTTTGCTGATGTCAACACCAATATCGTGAGATAGATGCATCTGGTATCTGTGGCAAGTCATTGATACATGTCGATCTCTGTTCAGTCTACGGCGTCAGGTTGCGGCCATCAACCGGCTGGCAGATCGGGGGATGTCATTCTGGGACTACGGCAACGCCTTCCTTCTTGAGGCCAGCAGAGCAGGTAACGACAGATACAGTGTCAGCTACATAGTCTTCCCTCATCTTCATCACCGTCAACACATGCATCCCCATGTCGAAACAATATCTAGCTAGATATAAACTTTCAATATTCATTAGTCATTAACAACAAGAATGCTATATTTTGAGTTAATTGTTCGTATATATCTTCAGTTATATTTTCCCACATACAAAGGGTTGCAAACAATTTGGCTGGTTGCTGACATTGCTAATGCTGATGTTTCGTTATATATGTCTCCTTCTATCCGGACCCGTGAAGATCCGGGTTAGAATTGATCTTCAGTACCCATGCTTGTCGTAAGAGGCGACTAACGGGATCGGGTGATCAGGCTCGCTGACTTGGTTGATACATGACATCGTGTCCCAACTGCCTAGATCGATGTTCATACTGTTGATCACTGGATCGTCTGATGTTCAGATTCGATTATTTACAGACCGCCGCCATTTAGTTGAAATATTGCTGAGTGCGGCGTAAAACTAAACTCACTCACTCACCTTCTATCCGGAGTGGGGCACAGGTGACAACGTTGTCTGTTGCTCCGTAATTCGATGTGTAGACCTGTGTCCCAGAGGCTTGCCATAACCTATAAATCGCGGGTCTGAATCACGGTTCGCCATGGCGGTATATGTCTAAGACAAGTCATCACTAAAGGATGACACCCAACGTCAAGACGAAACAGACATACTGTTGGCGTCAAACCAACCATACACAAAGTTCCCTGAGTTTGCTGGTTACATGTCAGAATCTCCCTGAAATACATGTAATGGGTTCACCCCGCGGAGTCTCGTTGTAACAGAATAACGATGTTGCACAGGTGCCGATGTGGGACGCTGCGACAACATGCACGGCACCGCCTTCAGATTCCCGTCGTATGTACAAGACATCATGGGCGACATCTTCTCTTTGGGATTCGGCCCGTTCAGGTAACACAACCACTTTGTACCACAGCAGGAACTCATATCCATCCGATCCCCATTGTCGTCTGGACGGCTTTTGTTGGTATAGTCATAGAGATTGCTGTAGAAGATTTGAACGCTTTGATATTCTGATTGAGACAGATGCCGATATTGTCGGAGATTTGATTGTTGACGTTTTGGGCTCTTTGATCAGCACGAGCTGGTTCCACGACACTATTCTAGCACGATAACTATTGTAAGAATATTGTTACGATCCTTGATGGTCGTTTTGTTGAATGTCATACTGGACAGTACGTGGTTCTTAGTTATCTCCATATTGTATCTGGGCTACGTCAATGCCCGACCAGCTATACTGTACCACACGGCATCTACACTAAACGCCAAAAGAAACGTTACCCTCCTTCCTTAATGAATTTCTTAAAATCTGCTCAAGTGAGGATAAAACCTTTCTGCTGCATTGTGATGCGTGGACGTCCACTTCTTGGTCTGTCTACGGTGACCCCAGTCTGTCTGTAGCGATGAATAAGTCTTATAACCGTGATATGGTGGCATCCGAGGGCGTTGGCAACAGCATTGTATGTCGACCCCATCTGCACCATCCCAATGGCTCTTTCTCTATCTTCAGCTGTTAATCATGGCATATTTCTCGAACTTGTACATCATATCATGCATTCTAGGCTATATTTATGGAAATTTGTTGAATCATTCTACACGTGAAATTGATGTAAATACCGCTTGAATATTGCTATGTGTAAACTGGAAAAATATTACTTTGCAAGCAAAAATGTTAACAAAGATAATTTTAGATGTTCCTAAACACTTTTTACAATATCAAAGACACTTGTACTTATTTTCACAAATGCAAATTAGCAGAACATGTTTTAAAAGACTGAAATCATAGGAATGATTCTTTTACAGTTTTACACATTCTACAACAGTTGTTTAATAGTTGAAAAATTAAACTTTAAATAATGGTTTATCTTTGTCTGAAAGCAAAATATTATTTCAACCTTGCTTTTGGCCATTTGGTCATCTAAATCACTGTTACACATACAGACATACAAACATTTGTATAGCGCCGATATCCAGTACAACTGCTAAAAGGCGCTTAAATTGTTATTGGTTTATTTCGGCATGGTCGAAAATAGGACAATTTAACTATTCTGAAAATGATGCATTTCACCTAAATATGAATGCATTTGAGAATTTGTTTTCGTGATTTGCATAAAGCTGTGTTGTTAAGCTTTCTTGTAAACTAATACCTTCTGACATATCTTGGATAGGTTATAATTAATTCATAAAGGTAGAAGGGTACATGTAACGTATATTGGCGTTTAGTGTATGTACAATTTGTATGTAGAATCCTTGTCGTTCTCCAGGTGGGTTTGTGCATCCGGGGACTCCGAGGACCTCGACAGAACGGACGACATCGCCGCCAATGTGCTTGAGGACATCCTCAAGGAGGAAGGTAGGTAGTCGTCATGTGTGATTCCCCTTCTGTGTGGCTCCTGGTCACCTCGATATGACCTGGCTAAAATAGTACTAGAAGTTGCGTTATACCCCTCACTCACTCACTCGCCCAAACCCAACATCTTCAAACCAGCCTGATGAACACACATTACTGACAGAATTATTTGCATTATCACTTGTGTTTCCAATATACATCCCTTCCATACCCAACTCACTATTCTCCCTGTTGTAAGGCTGGATATGTTTATCGTGGTTTTCAGTGAAGTTGGAAGTTTCTTTACGTTTGCATACGGTATTTCAGTGCCTGAAACAGTTAAACAGCTGTACCAAGACAATCTTCGGTGGATCAGAGAAGCCTCTCAACACAAGTTGGTGAGTTGCACGTCTACCTGGGTTTTTAGTGAGGGTAACACTATCAGAGGTGTGTCAACAAAAGCTGGTGAGTCGCACGTCTACCTGGGGTTTAGTGGGGGTAGCACTATCAGAGATGTCTCAGCACAAGCTGTTTAGTTGCACGTCTACTGGGGTTTAGTGAGGTTAACACTATCAGAGGTGTCTCAACACAAGCTGTTTAGTTGCACGTCTACTGGGGTTTAGTGAGGTTAACACTATCAGAGATGTCTCAGCAAAAGCTGTTTAGTTGCACGTCTACTGGGGTTTAGTGAGGTTAACACTATCAGAGGTGTCTCAACACAAGCTAGTGAGTTGCACGTCTACTGGGGTTTAGTGAGGTTAACACTATCAGAGGTGTCTCAACACAAACCGGTGAGTTGCACGTCTACCTGGGATTTGGTAGGGGTAACATTATCAAAGGTGTCTCAACACAAGCTGGTGAATTGCACGTCTACCTGGGGTTTAGTGGGGGTAACACTATCAGAGGTCAACACAAGCCGGTGAGTTGCACGTCTACCTGGGATTTGGTAGGGGTAACACTATCAGAGGTGTCTCAACACAAGCTGGTGAGTTGCACGTCTACCTGGGGTTTAGTGAGGGTTACACTATCAGAGATGTCTCAGCAAAAGCTGTTTAGTTGCACGTCTACTGGGGTTTAGTGAGGTTAACACTATCAGAGGTGTCTCAACACAAGCTAGTGAGTTGCACGTCTACTGGGGTTTAGTGAGGTTAACACTATCAGAGGTGTCTCAACACAAGCCGGTGAGTTGCACGTCTACCTGGGGTTTAGTGAGGGTAACACTATCAGAGGTGTCTCAACACAAGCCGGTGAGTTGCACGTCTACCTGGGGTTTGGTAGGGGTAACATTATCAAAGGTGTCTCAACACAAGCTGGTGATTGCACGTCTACCTGGGGTTTAGTGGGGGTAACACTATCAGAGGTCAACACAAGCCGGTGAGTTGCACGTCTACCTGGGATTTGGTAGGGGTAACACTATCAGAGGTGTCTCAACACAAGCTGGTGAGTTACACGTCTACTGGGGTTTAGTGGGGGTAACACTATCAGAGGTCAACACAAGCCGGTGAGTTGCACGTCTACCCTGGATATGGTGAGGGTAACACTATCATGGTTCTCTCAACACAAGCTTGTGAGTTGCACGTCTACCTGGGGTTTGGTGGGGGTAACACTATCAGAGGTGTCTCAACACAAGCTGGTGCGTTGCACGTCTACTGGGGTTTGGTAGGGGTAACACTACCAGAGGTCAACACAAGCTGGTGACTTGCACGTCTACTGGGGTTTGGTGAGGGTAACACTACCAGAGGTGGCTCAACACAAGGTGGTGGACAAGGGGTAAGCGGGGGTAATTTTGCATTATTGTAAGACATACAGGTTATTTGAACTGATATACATTACAATATGGGATATTAACGCGAGAGAACGAACATGTTTTGTTCTTTTCACATCGTTCAACTCTCAGACAAAACATAAAGGATCTGGAATGAAACATGGTCTGACACCTCACTAACTCACTATTTACCATAAGAGTGAATGACTGGCTGTGTTTGGTTTTAACACTGCTTGGAGCTGTTATTTACAACCATATCACAGCGACCCAATTTGATGTGAGAGGAAAACCAAGTGATGTTGACCGTAGAAGTTTGAAAATGTAGTTAAACCACCGAGCTCGTGTTGGGTGCTGAATGATTCACGGCAAACCACCGTTCAGCGGATCCTGACATAACTACGGCCGCTAATTGTATCGCCTCACACAAATGGACTACCTGTGTTCCCCTTTGCCATGAGATAACTGAAGTGTGTGCTCCGTCTGTTCACAGGGGCGAGGTCATCAACGGCGGGTTTGGTCTCGTGCTCGATGGCACCCTGGTAGGTATTTGTACGTCATACGATGCTTCTAGAGAATAGAATATATATGAATCGTACCTCACATAAGCAGAACGTTGACTTGGAATACATACAATATTGGGGCAAGCGACAACACTAAGAAGGGGAACGTTCTGGGTGCCGTTGTACAAAGCGATCTTTGCGCTAAGGTGACCGTAACTCCCTTACCTTAACATAGACTTAAGGTAACCTTAGCGCTAAGGTTGTTTTGTACAACGGCACCCTGATCGGCATTTTGTTTGAACAATACTGATGATTAGTAAGGTAGCAGTATAACAACTACATGTATTCTTCTGTCCTCACACAAATGTTCCTGTTCCAGGATTCTGCCTTGAGAGCCAAGAGAATGTTATCATGGGACGTCAGTAACGGGGTAAGAAGAACACACAAGCAATCGGGGGTACAACTGGGACTTGCGGAAATTTTATTCTACTATCTTGGGCTGATTATAAATATGCCTATAACTATGGATGTGTATTAAGGCCAGTCTAATACATTGTTATCATCCACATAGATCACTTTCATCTTCAGATATGATATTATGATCGTGCGTCAAGTCAGTGAGACAGTTATATATGTGTCGTGAAGTTACGACCTTAAGCTTAAACATACGTTGGATAATCAGTGTGCGGAATTTACGCTGGTCCTGTGGTCCGTGGCTAGTAAACATTCATCAGGACCACTGAATGATAAATTTGCAGTGGTCCTAGTGGCCAGTGAATTTGGTATTAGAAAAGTATAATACTAGATGGATAACAACTCTTCATTTCTTATGATGCTAGCATAAGACATAAAGAAGTTGTTATCCATAAAGTATTATACTTTTCTATTGTCCATCAACTTCTAAAATGCCAATCAAACAGAGAATTTGGTATTGATAGTTAAGTAAATATACGAATGTTATTTTGCACCAGTGAAGTACAGACAGGACCACTAATTATTGTCCACTCACTGGTCCTGTGGTCTAGTGGGAACATTTGAAAGGTTTCTGTCCCTGCCTAGATATAGTTCATACATATGTATGTATACGTATGTGTAGTATCTATAAATGTCTTGGCCTTCCCCGGCGTGTAGGAAAGGTTGTATCAGTTCGTTTGTCTGGGTTTTGTTTGTCGTTGTGTTTAAAAATAATATAACGTGCTTCTCAAAGCATTTCGATATCGAGGCTCCTTCACGATTTGTCAGCGCAAGGTGTTTTTTTCAGACGGTCGTGATAAAGTCACAAAACATTTGTCAAAGTATTTACTTTTTTCACTTTATACTGTATCCACATCAATATTATATCGCTAGGCGACGCCATAATACCGCTTTGAGGAATGGAGCCATGTTGTACCGGTACATGTACTTATCGAATATTCATTGGAGTTAATTGTTAGGTGAATAAATCGTGTGTTTTCAAATTTGTATTTCAGGTGGCCCGTCGCTGCTGGTCCGGCAACAGTCGTGCTGAGGAGACCATATGTCGGGCAATGGAGTCCGACCCCAAGTTGAAGGTGACGATACCATATCACGTGAAGAACCCCGACATTATCGACAAGGCTCTCAATGGCTAGAGTCAACACGACGAAACTCAGGAAATCCAAGGATCCTTACACTGAAACATACTCCATCCTGCCGCATTACATTACATGTCTTACATTACAGCTGGCCATTGTAACACACGACGTTGCTCTATCATCCATACGTGTATACATATTGTTTGACGCCATATTCGGAAATGGTCAAGCAACATGACTGTGGTGTGTTGTGAGTAAAGAGTTTTGACCACACAGCTTTGTGACTGACATCAGAATTATGATACGATAAAACGAAATCAACCAGATCACCTGACCCCTTGATCCATGTAGTCGCTCCTGAAGGTCAGGGTTAAAATTGGTAACCCATGCTTGTAACGCAGTAATTCTAGAATCGGCAACCCATGCTTGTAAAACAATAGTTCTAGAATTGGCAACCCATGCTTGTAACGCAGTAATTCTAGAATTGGCAACCCATGCTTGTAAAACAATAGTTCTAGAATTGGCAACCCATGCTTGTAACGCAGTAATTCTAGAATTCTAGAATTCTAGGCAACCTATGCTTGTAATGCAATAATTCTAGAAATTCTAGAATTGGCAACCCATGCTTGTAATGCAATAATTCTAGAATTGGCAACCCATGCTTGTAAAAAATAGTTCTAGAATTGGCAGTAATTTTGAAACCCATGCTTGTAACATGCAGTAATTCTAGAATTGGCAACCCATGCTTGTAAAACAAATAGTTCTAGAATTGGCAACCCATGCTTGTAACGCAGTAATTCTAGAATCGGCAACCCATGCTTGTAAAACAATAGTTCTAGAATTGGCAACCCATGCTTGTAACGCAGTAATTCTAGAATTGGCAACCCATGCTTGTAAAACAATAGTTCTAGAATTGGCAACCCACGCTTGTAATGCAATAATTCTAGAATTGGCAACCCATGCTTGTAATGAAATAATTCTAGAATTGGCAACCCATGCTTGTAATGCAATAATTCTAGAATTGGCAACCCATGCTTGTAATGAAATAATTCTAGAATTGGCAACCCATGCTTGTAACACAGTAATTCTAGAATTGGCAACCCATGCTTGTAAAACAATAGTTCTAGAATTGGCAACCCATGCTTGTAATGAAATAATTCTAGAATTGGCAACCCATGCTTGTAATGAAATAATTCTAGAATTGGCAACCCATGCTTGTAACGCAGTAATTCTAGAATCGGCAACCCATGCTTGTAAAACAATAGTTCTAGAATTGGCAACCCATGGTTGTAATGCAATAATTCTAGAATTGGTAACCAATGCTTGTAACACAGTAATTCTAGAATTGGCAACCCATGCTTGTAAAACAATAGTTCTAGAATTGGCAACCCATGCTTGTAATGCAATAATTCTAGAATTGGCAACCCATGCGTGTAACGCAATAATTCTAGAATTGGCAACCCATGCTTGTAAAACAATAGTTCTAGAATTGGTAACCAATTCTTGTAATGCAATAATTCTAGAATTGGTAACCCATGCTTGTAATACAATAATTCTAGAATTGGCAACCCATACTTGTAATACAATAGTTCTAAAATTGGCAACCCATGCCTGTAATGCAATAATTCTAGAATCGGCAACCCATGCTTGTAATGCAATAATTCTAGAACTGGCAGCCCATGCTTGTAATGCAATAATTCTAGAATCGGCAACCCATGCTTGTAAAACAATAGTTCTAGAAGTGGCAACCCATGCTTGCAATGCGTTAATTCAGGTATATCACTGCGGTCTGTAATCAATCGAGTCTGGACCAAACAACCAAATGATTGATATCATGAGCATCGATCTACGGAATCCGGATACGATTACAACATCGGGCTAGTCGGTGAGAACAGCTTCACTCGCATATAGGAAGACTGGTAATGTTTCTGTTGCGCAACCCTGTAGCACTACAGTTTGCCTGTGGTGAGAATAACCACCATGTATTCTTAGTGGCCTCTTACTGGTATGGGGGCTGAATTCATCCCCAGATTTTCACTGGTTGGTTGTATATATTGACTGATGGTGGAGGAACGTGGTGTATACAAAATATTGACCAGGTCAGCTTGTTTCATGTCTTCATCGGTTGTAATGTCAAATCCTTTATTTGTAATAAAGGACAGATGCGCGAAGCCAATGTTGTGTTTGCAATGTGCACTCTAAAGTTCAAGTATCAGTGCGTGATGTCAGCGTTGAGTGAGTTTCGTTTTATGCCGCACTCAGATATATTCCAGCTGTTAAGCGGAGGTTTGTAAATAATCAAGTCTGGACCAGACAATCCAGTGATTAACAGCTTGAGCATGGATCTACGCATTTAGGATACGATGACATGTGTCAACCAAGTCAGCGGGCCTGACCCCCCGATTCCGTTAGTCGCATCTTACGACAAGCATGGGTTACTGAAGATCAATTCTAACCCGGACCTTCTCGGGTACTCAGCGTTAAGGGGATCTCATCTCATGCATATCTTATGACAGTGTGTTTACTGTTTGAAGCCAACTCTGCAATATTCCTGCTAAATGACCAATGGAAATTTCAAGTGAGTGGCACCATGCGCATCAATCCAAGCCATTCGGTTAAGATGACATGCAGCAACCAAGTTTGTTGTTTAACGCTGCACTCAGAAATATTTCCAGCTATATGACGGCGGTCTGTAACTGATCGACACTGGATCAGACAATCCAGTGATTGATATCACTTGCATCGGTGTGCGCATTTGGGATGCAATGGCATGCATCAATTAAGTCCTCGAATCTGACCTCTGGGTCCCGCATGTCGCCTCATGCCACTGGATCATACCACAGCTGTAGTGTTCACGTAGAGAAACATGTATTGTACTGTAGTAAGCTGCTTCCATTACACCAGACAGGTTGCATTGTACAAAGAACATAGGTCTTGGTTGTAATCTGGGAGTGAGAGAGTTTAGTTTTACTCCGCCTTTAGCAATATTCAAGCATCACGGCAGGGGACACCAGAAACGGGCATCACACATTAATATACATCTAGGACACTGTTAATATACAATATATCTTTCTTGTACATCTAACAGCTGCTTCCGAATTCTCACAAAGAGAAATTTGATATTGCTGACATATTTTCATTGATAATTTGCATGTATTACCGTTTTGAGAGCAAATAAAAACCATTGGCTTCTGTTGAGACTTGTCTGCCAATAGTGTACCCTGGGTGGGGTCGGTTATAACGTAGTGCACGTGACATAGCTTATTTCCCATGTTTTAGAATGGACCATGAAAATCACCAAATGTGAGATGGTGTTGCTTCTACAGGCGGACAAGCCTTATGGGGCATTGTTCCGATTTAAAGGCACCAGAACAATAAGACAATATTTGATAATCAATTACTTTTGCAAGCCACGAAGAATTAAGTTCCGCTGCTGGGATATTAACTTTTCTGCGAAATTCTCTCTCCAATCATTTGGTGACTGGTCATAAAACAGAGATTAACAAAACCAACAAGAAAGTGCAGCAAATGTGATTGAGGTTTTGCTAAAGATGCCAGTACCTTGATCAAGACTTATTATTCAACAACTTAGGTCATAGCTATAAAGACAGAACCATCTGTAGGTCTAAAGTTCTCTTCCTTGCAAAAGCTTGGGAAAAAGTAAAAATATTCCACAAGTGACAAATTTGTTTTGCATCTTATAAATAAAGCTAAAAATGTGTAAATAATTTGTGTAACTTTTAGTTAATCTCTCCAAATTATGGTTGGTAAGACCAAGTTGATTACTTATTTTTAAAGTAAGTACTTTTCCTGTTTGATGTTTTGAGTGTGGGCAATATGACAGTAGCCTGCCAGTACCCCCTAGGCCAGGCTGTATTTACATCTACCCAACTGGGAACCGACGAGTCGACCAAGTCAGCAAGCCTGACCACCTTATCCCATTACTCGCCCGTTACGACATGCATGGGTTTCTGAAGACTAATCCTAACCTGGATATTCACAGGTTTTGTCTGTGAGGACTAGCAGTATTGGATTCTTACTCATCCTCAGCACAGTTCCGTAAAGTTCAAGTAGCTGACAGCATCGTACCAATACCTGCAATACTTATTCATTATACATAAGAATATCTGAACACTGAATTCAGTTGGAATATGTTACCACAGAAACTGAAGACTAAACACATACTGACAAAGACAAATGTAAACACAGCACAAGTTGTCACATGTTTATACACTACAGGTACATCATCTCATACACACATGTATTCACATTGTTCTACAATGTAGGCGTTGCTGCTTGATACAGTCTCTCATCAGTCAGATCACAGAATTACATCTGAAACAGAAATTGGTTTATGAATGATATTGTGATGGTAATAGGACTGGTATCATCATCATGAACAACCAATTCACCCTTGATTACACAGGGTATTATATCACCAGTCTATTTTAATGGCTACCATGCATCATTTCAGAAGTGGATGACCACATCCATTGTTCAAATTGGTATCAACTTAACATTTTCCTGCTCATGAGATTAATTTTCACCTTGTGCTATATGAAATTGGCTCAAAACGAATTGTTCAGGGTGTAAGAGTCTACGATAGGAAAACAAGCTGGATCAAAGACATTAGCAGAAATGAGTCCCTAAAGACCACCTCCGTGGTGTAGTGGTTAGAGCGTCCGCCCGGAGAGCCGAAGGTCGCGGGTTCGATCCCCGACCGCGCCATACCAAAAGACATTAAAATATGGTACTTGTTGGTCCCTGCCTGGTGCTCGGCATCAATGGGCACATCAAAGACTGGTCAGCTCGGAGTCAGTATAATGCGTCTGAGTGGGGTATTCATGCTTCACTGCGGCATGGTATCTCAGTGGGCTAGCACTATAAAACCAGTTTCAGTCTGGGCTAGTACAAGCAGCCGCACCTACACATACACACGCATGCACGTCGTCATATGAGCGAAATATTCTCAAGCACGATGTTAAACCCAATTTCACCTCACCTCACCTAAACTCAACCTTTCCACTCATCTTAGACTAACATTGATTTTCCAATAGACAAATTGTATTACAACACTCTCATGATGTCATCAACTCTTAATTGTTATGTCTCATTAACAAATTTGAATAAAACCTCTACAATCATTATCCAAGAAAATGAACCAGTATTAAACTCTAAATTAAAAACATGCAAGTGATGAAAAGACAAATTATGATTCATGGTGAGACTTTTGCTGGATTACATGATAATGTTTAGTTCTAGTGTACAACTGGACAAACCTGCTTCAACATGTTCAAGAGGTTGGCAACACTTCCGCAGCTTCTACTGCAGCAACCTCCCTTGCAATATAAACAGCTCCACAGAACACGACGACACTCTTTACAAGGGACCTGCAGCAGTAAATGTGTTATTAGTGTTGGCAGAAGTAATAATATGGAAAATCATCTTTTAACTGTAAACTGTTAACAGGTAAATGATAAAATGTCCGAAGCTTATTGAATGACAATGTGTATAGAGACGGCAGAACACTTAGAAGAGTGTAGGCACAATCGATAATCCAGGCACAGTCTGTCACAGGGCATTGTTTCACCAGTGGTTTTGGTAACAAAATTTCACACAGTATGTCATAAGGTATTGTGATGTAATTTGTAAAGTTTGTGGTGCTGAAATTCTAACGAAATTCCAGATAATGTCCGCATATTGGAAACAAGTGCTATTGAAAATAAACATTCAGATGTTGTATGCCAATTGTGGTAAACACAATATGTCATCTTGGGCACCGTCACTAAATGGGATCTTAACACTTTCCTTTTATTTAGTGTTAAGACCCGTTAGTGACCTTGAAGCCAGATTTTGCGTTCCAAGCCCCTGTGATATTGGGTATAATAATAGACATATCATTCTGTCAATGTGTTTATCCCAGACCTGATTCATGATTGATCAAACATCCACTTATTAGCCCATTACCTATTTTTCTTTATTTCTGTCGAATTTAGCTTACAGCCTTAGGTACAGATATATACCCAAGGTACGTATTAGTATACAGAAAAGCCCCCAAGCCAAAATCAAAATAGTGAGCAGTAATACTGTTTTATGGCATACGTATATCACATCGTGATATAACAAGTGGGTATAAAAAAATAAAAATAAAAAATAAAACAAAAAACGGTATAAAAAATGAACGATCACAGTGAAGTACATTTATAGCTGTACAGCACACTTCGGGAAGCAGAGTATTATCATGCAAGCTCTTGTAAGCAGGTGAACTGCTTCAACTGGGATTCGGGTTGAGGAATATGGACTCGTTCACCATTTAGGAGATAAACATACTGTCTGTTATCCAGACACTGAATAAGATATATGGGCCAAAGATATGTTCACAATCAACAAACAGTTTAAGTGCACAGCGCAACGTGAAATGGACTAATCATGGGTACCGTATTCTGATCGTGGCTGCAGCTAAAATGGCTGCAAACAATATCTGTCGTACCCTTGTCGACGACCCCTACAGCACATTAAATCGATGAATATGGACAAACATGAATTGATCTAAAATGGCCAGTATGCAAATGGTAATTACAACAAACATATGCGCATGTGGGCCGTGAGTGTTTAACAAACAACATCACGATGTTTACGGATGAGCCAGTGATTCACGGAGGTGAACGAATTCTGAGGCAATGACCAGCTCATGCACGATTGAATCCAGCATTCATGGAAGGTGTACTTTTGTTGCTGCGAATGTTTTTCGGTGCTACCGATTTTGTAAAGCAGATACAGATACAGATTCGTTACAAACCATCTGAATGGGTCAGTCCATAAACTCTTAGCGAATGATACAACCGCAGACGCCATGCTTGTGGGATTAGATAGGCATTCGGAAGGTATCGGCAGTTTTCAACACCTTACCAATATGTCGGAATTCATTCGAGTGCCCAAGCTCACATAGGGTAGCTCCGATTGAGGCGGAAAACAGGACTGGGCTCCTGTCTACACGCTCATTGTGCACAATCACAAAACCAGTTTAACATGTGAAGCGTACGTACAAGTTACATTATTTTATACAATGGTTACCAGGATGCTTTTGTCGATATTTTGAAAATAAGTGTGTACGTTTGAAAAGTATTAACTGTTTCACTTTCATATTAATATTTTAAGTATTAAATGACAGAAAGTTGTGTCATAATCTTTATGGGCCGCTGGACCCTAAAACCTTTGTCTAGTCCAGCATATAACTTGGTAGTCCAGCATATAACTAGACGACTTTGCACTATACCAAGGTTATGTAGGTCTTGGCTGGAATACGAGTTATTTATATGAACTAACCTTTGTCCAACTTTGCCCGCCTTCTGCAGCAATACTTTTATGGTGACGTACTGATATTTCTTAGCTTTCACTCTTTTCTGCTTTACTGCGTGTAACAACTGAATGTTTTTAGGTATTTAAAATACAACTTGGTTAGCTGCCTCATTTCACACTAAATGAAGTTCATAAATTATGGATCATAATATTTACCCATTAAAATAAGAAATAAATCCCGAGCTTACAATCCGAGCTGCAACATTACCTCTTTTTCCTTAGTGCTGCAACTGTACTTTGCTATCCAGAGTTACGTCCCTTAGACACACCAGATCATATGACCACTGGGTGGAGTGAGTGAGTTTAGTTATACGCCACTTTTTGCAATATTTCAGCAATATCACGACGGTGAACACCAGAAATGGGCCTCACACATCGTGCCCATGTGGGGAATCGAACCTGTGTCTTCGGCATGACGAGAGAACGCATTACCCACTTGGCTACCCCAAATAGTTGGAATGTCAGCAAAACTCGGATCATGCTATCATTAACTTGTGCTGGGTTTTTTTAAGTGTGAAAGTCATGCATCCATGCTCCTCCGAAATTAAGAGAACATGCATGATCATTGTAAAAGACTGATTTAATTCTCCAAGGGTTAGTATTGCTGAGTGCAGCTTATCACGAACACTCTGGGTTACCCCAAATCACTCACTAACACTGGTGTAAACTCCATATCATTTACTGCAGCATTATCCTTGAGGTAATCTAATGGATAAGGAGATTGCTGGTCACAGTGCCAATCTACAAACTTGTAACAAAAGATCTCAAACAGAACAACTCCCAAACTTAATTTTGTGACATGGTACTTGTTCATGTAATGCCAAGAGTGTGCAGACAAGAGAGTGAGTGAGTTCAGTTTTACGCCGCACTCAGCAACATTCCAGCTATATGGCGGCGGTCTGTAAATAATCCAGTCTGGACCCAGAAGTACAGATAAGCTGCGTGTCTGCGTAAATTACGCAAATATTTATGTGAAAACTCAATTTCTATTCAGTCTATTCAGTACGCTTGAATGTTTGTAAATTCTCAATAAATGTGATCTTACATGCGTACACACAAAGATGTCAAAGTCTAAGCTTGCGTACCGGTGGATAGATAAAATAACTGAAGTATACTGAGAGGTTCTATTTCAGGACATGAACTTGACAACTTGCAGTCTTTCTTATCGTTTCTCATATTACAGATCGAATATAAATAACAAACATTAACTTTTAAACTTCACTACATGTATTTTCAAATTTAATGGAAAATGGCAAAATACCCAATCGAATTCGAGTGAGGTGAGTACAATTTATTTGGTTACTCAAAGAAAAAATGGGATACCCATTTGAGATGAACACAAGTGAGTACATAACTCAATGACCCCAAAAGTTATCTGTAGCTCTGGGACCAAACAATCAAGTGATCAACAGCATGAGCATCCATCTACGCAAATGGGAACCGATGACATGTGTCAACCAAGTCAGCGAGCCTGACCACCCGATCCCGTTAGGCGCCTCTCATGACAAGCATGGGTTACTGAAGGTCAGTTGATTTACTTGAAATCTTGACAAAGTGATTGACTTACTATGTGTAGTACTTTTAGTAGACAGAGGCCCACTGTTGCTAGCTGGGATTTGTATTCCCAAATCTGTGATTGTGGTACCCAGTGACCATTTATTTCATGTGCCTGGTTAAGTACTAGTAAGGTGACCAATCTGAAATGCCTCATGTATTTTAAATAGGTCTGGTCTCCTGAGGCTAAACCTTTGGGTAGACGACACACAGTCAAGTCACATCACTTAGACACACATTGCACCTAGAAGTTAACCACACTTGATTGTAGACTTGATTTTAATATAACATGTTTTATGTAGATCTAGGTCCAGCGCTGGCACATAACATCAACTGAACAAATGCCATCTGTCTTTTACACCTCCATGTTGAGGTTCTGCAGGTCATTAAGTCCAGTTGCACTTAATCAACAACAAACACACACTTCTTAATCGACATTCTTTATCTTTCATTAAAAAAATTACAAGTTCCGATACACATCTGAAACTGGTATCTTGAAATACATGATACACTTGAAATACCTGAAACAATAAAGACTGGGCAGTGATGTGAAACCTCAACAAATACACTTCCTTGTGGTATTTGTACTGATCCACCAATATAAGAAACACCATCTTGAAACATGCCCTGGCCAGCGTTCAAGAGTCCTGGATTCAAGAGTCCTGGATTCGGTGAAGTTCACAGCTGAAATATCTTAATTTGGGAACCCCTCAAATCTTGGAACATTCGGGTTATACAGGGACCTCCTGGATTTTAGGTTCACTTCCCAACAGGAGGTCCTGACATCCTCAAGGCCAAAATAAATTAATTATTAGATTTTCATCACATCTTATTACATAGCAAGTTTTTATACCACCAGAAAACATGTCAAACACTACCACTTTTTCATAGGTTTACAGCTGTTCTAAAATGGTCGGTGGATCAAACAAAGATTTCTTCTTATTCTTCCTGTTCTTTAACTTTTGAGTGGTATACAGTTTTTACAGTCCAAGGCATATGTGTACATTAACTGTTGAAGGACATGCTAATGAAGCATGAATGGTCGAAGGAATGAGCATATTGCCTATTTTATCTAATTAAAAACGAAAAGAACACACATGGCAATTTTCTTTTACTGCATGTGATATAATAATGTGTGATGGCATAGGCAATGAAAATCTTCGTAAATAATTCCTTATGGCCTGATTCACATTGGTTTAGTAAACAATATGCATGAAACAAACTGATGATGGATGACAGGCAGTGTCCACACAGTCATTGTAGAGATGAGCTCCATGAATAGATGTGGATTGTAACACAATGTGAGATGACAAATCCCAGCAGGAATGATTGGTGGCTGGGTCAGTCCGACATCGATATGGAACAATGTTCCAGACCGGGGCACAGTGTTCAAGTACATGTCATGTCCATATAAAGATTCCCTGTTCTATAAGTCCTTCATCTCCCCCTCCTCCTCCTCTTCTTCCACGCCCCGGATGTACAGCACATTGTTGCATCTGCAAGTAAACACATACACATCAGCTTACTGACACAGTGCCTCAAAGAAGAGACCCGCAAAGGTCACATGCAACGTAAAACACAACTTTGCAGATTCTGATACCTTTTGGTATGGACTTACAGATACAAATCATCAAAAATGCAAATCAAACTTATAAAGTTGAAAAATAACGCGATGAAAACCCCCCCACGAAATCGGAGTTCAAACGATTCACTAAATTCACCCCAGCGCTTGCACAGGCCTTCGTCTTGATCCTTGTTTAGGAGATATTTACAACTGATGCTTTCTTTTGAGAAGCCATTGCATGAAAAATACTCTTACATTAAGCAGTCGACAAAGGAAAAAATCAAGTTAATTTTTATAGAATTGCAGATTTTGCAAGCGTTGACCAATCAGAGGGCTTGCTTCGACCACACCTCCGTTTTGTGCGGACATATCGTCATCCATTTGTGTCAAGATCTTTTAGTTGAGAGTCAAAATCGGGTTTCAATCGACTTGCAGAAATAGCAATAAAGAATTGGAAGGTCTCATGAGTGGTGATCGATAGGCCAATCATTCATGATTATGTTTACATTAAGTTTAAATCGATTGCATGCAATGGTAGCGGAGCGATCTGCAAAGCAGGCGGGTGGGGTATACCGAAGTGTCCGGCCTTGTCATAATGTATTGTACTGTGTAGCATTTCGAGTTGGGTGTCATCTAAAAAAAATATTTTTTTTAATCTTTAATCTTCGCAAAGACACACGAAGGCCTGTGAGCGCTTGGGGTGAAAAGTGGTTTCAACAGCTGTGCTGCGCTCATAGCACACATGCGCAATGAAAGAGGTTTGCGCAGCTTGGAAGCGGGATGTCCGGATTATAAGTGGTGGTCCGATTAATTGAAATAATCGAAGATTGGTCGTAACGACCAAGCAATCAATCATAATTTCTCATAATCGAACACAACCAATTTTGGAACACTTGTTTTCATTAACAATATTTTTCACATGGTTAGTTTTGTCTGTTACATTTTGTAAGCACTACAAGCTCGTTTCAAGCCCATTAAAGGCTCCAAGAAATTTATGTTCCTAACATACTAGTCATCCTTTAAAGATGTGAAATTTTGCCAAAAAGCCCCAAAAGAACTACATGGTTTTTTTCCTTATTTTTATGTGCATTAACAAATTTCATAAATGACGCTAACCAATTATTTTCGATGATTGATCGGTTGTAACGAACCAATCATGAATTATGAGATTTTAACCAATTCCCAACACTAGTGAGCAGGAGTAGTCTAATAAAAACAAATAGTAAATAATCTACTCATTACATAAAAGAACCTTGTTAGGATCTAGATCTACTCAGCTATGTGTCAACCAGTGAGGCGTTAGACATTTCAAGACGGAAAACCGTTCGCTGGCGGTGAATACTGGCGGTGTTGATATTTCACAGGTGCGAGCTTTTTATAAGTTATGACAGTAGATTACCGATTTAACTGTTTATATAATTTCATTTGCCTATTTCACAACACGTTCTTCTTACCGAGTCACTTTCTCAGTTCGATACTTAAAAGCAATGTCATTATTAAGCGTTGACAGAATTTCTAACTGTGATATATATATATATATGTCTGTTTTATTGACACCTATGTATCTGCCTGCCCGTCTGCTGATGACAATATTCAATACACAATTTCAATCACTGACCAAATGCAAGTTGAACTTAACACCTATCAGGCTATACACCATAAACAAAATGCATTGATTTATGGCCCGAGTTCGGTCTCTGTCACATTATGTAATTACACAGACAGGCAGGTGTGATACTTGTACACATGACATGTTATGATGTCTGTTGATTGCAAAATGTTATACACAAAAAATGAGCATGTATTTACAAAACCCAACATATCTATATACACACACACAATGAGCCGTGAGGGCATTGGCAAATGAACCAGCCGTTTCACTTGAGTGCACACCCACCTGCTCTGACTGGGTTCGGTATCCTGGGTGCTTCGTTTCGAGGAAGTAAACCCAGGTACAAAATATTGCACTTTTGATTTGAGATTGTACGCTTATAATTTTGTTTATATGTTTTTTCATAATCAGCAATGTATATTATATGTCATGAATAAGTGATAATTGTGTTTTAATTCTGTTTGATTTTTGGTTGCAATGACCTTTAAGGAAAACTGCCATTTTCTAACATTTCACTCAAACAATGTCTGCCTCGTCTGTTAGTGAAAGTTTAATTGAATTTTGATAATTTTGGTAAGAAGGTGATTTAATTCATCTATTCAGTTCATTAAATTTTGTTCTGTTCTTTCAGTGTTGGCTGTCAACTGTCAAGTGACCTATGTCAACAATCATGTGTACCCGTCAGTATTCGTTCCCTCAACAAATAGTTTGGTCTACAAATACCAAATTTACCAAAGTTGAGCACCTTTTAATTTAGTTTAGTTTCATGTCCTTAATTTTTAACTAGAGCTTTTACATCATTCTGACATGGTCTTTTAGTGTGTCATTGTATTTAACTTGAACAATTAACAAAGTATTATCTTATATCTTATACTGGTAAGTTTTCTAACTACCTTTCCTGAAACATCTGTATACTGCACAACATTATCATTAACTCCTCTGGTAAGATATAACACTTACAAGTCTTTGGAGGTAATATGCATTTTTTGAAATTGTCAGACCTGTCTTCTCATTAGCAGGTGACTTTGTACAGTTGACTAGTGTTGGGAATCGGAAATCAAATCCACTGTCGGTTATCAGAGGACTTGTGGTGAATGATTATCGACCATAATCAAAATATAAACCTTTTTAATGTAATCACCAATTTAAAGGGGTTTTTTTCTAATTAATGTTTTTTTTCTAACTAATACTGTCATGCAATGAAAAGATGCAAGAAGATACTGGAATTGTATTTAAACAATAAAAGTGGTTAAAATTTTACAATGCACATTGCTATACGCTGTTGAGTGCATGTTTGTCCATGAAGATTCATCAAATTTAATGGTTAGTTTACTTCATTCAAGTGTGTTATACTAAAACAAATTTCTGATTAATTGAAAAAAACATTTTACAATCGATTTTCAATTATTTTCGATCATTGGAACACCACTACATCTGACTTTAATACTCTTCGACCTCTGACTTTCTGGTACAAAGTGAACTGTTTGTTACTAATATCAAAAATAAAAACCATATAAGACACTTAGTGGTCTCTTAATCATTGTTGAAAATATGTATTTGCCCCATTTTCATGGCAGCGAGATATCTTAGTTTCAAATTTGTACATGACCTTTGACCTCCTGAACTGAACTTTACGTGTTGATTTATTGTCACAAGAAGCTGCAGTTCATAAAAAAAACAACAACGTGTTTTTCATGACAAATATGTACAAAGAGTCCTTCAACACACTTCGAAACAGCACATGTATGAATATTAACCATGACACCTGGTGTCCTCTGATGTTGTGTTCCTGTCATGCGGTGTATTTAACATAAACCATGAACTTTTTTCTCCAGACTCTTATTATATATAACCCAAACAGTCTTGCCCATATGTAGGAATGTGGAGTGTTACCTGATGAGAACCTCCCCCAAGTTGCCAGCTAATGCACCATCAATGTATTCTTCTGTGTTGGCCAACTGAAACAAAGGAAAAATGTCACATTGACACTTGTATGTAACACCATTCTTGTAGCCATGTAAACATGTTGAAATTGCTGAACATGTGGTGACACGATCCAATCGCTCATGTCACTTCTTTTTACAGTAACAAACCATGATTTGCCTATTTAAACGCATTGCTTCAAATTTAGTTCTGCAACAAAAACGCATGAAAGTCCAGAGGTCCTTGGCATGAACTATTGATACAATATAAGCGGTCCCTAGTTTCAACTTCTATAGCAATATACCTGAAGTTCAAACACTTCAATATTATGACAGTTGTTATTATGGATGAATACTGCATCAAAACTCACATCCATACAGCCTAAACCTATGTCATGAAGAGAGTGAGTATGTTTTTACACTGTGTTCATAGCAATATTCCAGCAAAATCACAGCAGGGGACACTAGAAATGGGCTTCACACATTGTACCCATGTGGGGAATCGAACCAGGCTCTTCGGTGTGACGAGCTACTCCACCACCCCATCATGTGAAGATGGTCTTTAAAAAGTAAAGTCTGGAACACCACGAGAAAGGATCTTCACAGCTGACAGACAATAATATGGAATTAACAGAATCTGACCAGCAGGTCCAAGTTGTTGGGTACATATTTTCATATCATGCTTACCAAATTTCTCATTTCAAGTTGTGTACAACTATAAATGGATATGTGTGTGTATACCTGTAGGTTCATGTAGCCATCCACTGACACTAGATAGCCCTTATACTCCATTCCCCACTTGAGTTTCACCATCACTGGCTTGCCTGTCAAACCATTCAGGAAAGGTTTGGGGTTCATAGGAAGAGCCTGTAAGTAAAAATGTCAGAAATGATCTGTAAAGAAAGTTTGCTTGTGTTCAGTGAATCGGTGACATCACAACTCAGCATCTCAAATTTGTGAATACTTTCATCTCATACGAGCTGATCACATTTTCTGTGCATAGGTGTCATGTTGATCAGGACAAGGACTTGAAGTTTATCAATCACTGGTGTGAATATTATGGTCAATTATGCTGAAGGGGTTGTTGTCGGCACGGGTACTACAGATATGTACCCCAGGTACGTTTCTGTATACAGATGTACCCTGGCCATAATGAGAATACAGAAACGTACCCTAGGACGATTCCATTCCCATTGTCGTATTCTTGATCGGAACTGTCATGCTGTTGTATTAGATACATTTGATTGCGTTATGTAATTAATGAGAATACACAGTACCGTATCCGACGCATATGAATACCACTCGCAATCAGCTGAACAGGAACAACTACATGCGGTTTCGGTTTTGGATTGTGGAATATGGACTCGTCCGCCTTTTAGGGTACCGGGTACGTTTCTGTATTTTGACTTTGTTTAGGGTACATATCTGTATACAGAAACGTACCAGGGTACATATCTGTAGTACCTGTGCCGACAACGACCCCTTCATGTCATGGGTATGACATTTGAACTTTAGGTGACATGTTTACACTCCACTTGCACCTTGATGATATGTATATTTGAACCAGAAGGGTAATTAAAAAAATCTGTAAAACATAGCCGAATATCTTGCATAGATCTTCTGCAAGATGTTCTTTGATGATCAAAGTTATGTATATGGTTTATCATGTTTATCACAACAAACAGAAGTAAACAGATAAAACATAATTTTCTCTACGAAATAAATTGAAATCATGCAAGTCATAGATTTCAAGTAACTGGAAATGATTCTCTGAATCAGAATATTGAAGGAAAATCTTAGCACGGTCACGGACAGACATTGTTAGACGGGCAGCTTCTTACATCGTTCAGTCGGCCTTGGGTGTTTTCGAAACATATTCATCAATTAATTATTCATATTAGAGCTGGAAAAGATGAAATACTTACAGCCATTTTGTGTGTTTGTGTTGACTCGCTATGTTGATAAAGGCCTTCCTAACTCGAAACCAATTTTCTCCCGGCAAAGCGTGGTCTCAACGAACACCGCATGCGCACTCTTACTTCCGGTTAAATGTATAAAGTGAAATGTATATATACATTTTCTGAATAAATGTCAGTTCTTTAAACATGTGCATGTTTTAGAAAGGCTTTGATTGATGATATATTTATGTCCTATAATTTCCAAGTATAATCCCCATAACATACTTTCAGAGTATCTTTCAAAGATTTTACACATTTTCGTTCGTTTTTGTTACCGTATTCCAGTTTGTGATCAAACAACATGGCGCTGCCCTGAAGGTTCCACACTGAAGTGAAAACAATGGGAGTTGTATGGTGTGTAATTTCGTTGTCCATGAAATAGATAGAAAGTCCATGATAGTCCTTGTGGTCTGTCCCAGTTAATGATTTGGCCCTAATGATTTTATTGACTGGAATAATTAACACAAGCTTTAATCGATGTGTTTCCTACTCAAATCAGTCAAATCCAATTTGCATCTCAAGTTACTGGGTGAAAACAGAGACCATTTACCGGTATTTGGTCTCTGGTTAAAAAAAGTAGCAATTGTATTGATTACAACTTCTTGGAAAGAGTTCCTTCCGTTCCCCCAACCCAAAACCTAACCCTAACTTAAATTTTGGACTTAGTCATTTTGTGAGTTCTCTAGTAATTGTTGTGTTAAGTTTTGTTCATAATTTTAGTATATTTATAAATATTATTTGGGATGGGGGAACGGGAGGAACTCTTACCAACTTCTTCATAGATATGTATGACGATGATTTCGTTATAAAACCTCATACTCAAGCTACCTTATGTGAGAGGATACAAAGCAATATATAATATATACACACTGTATATACACTGTAGTATAAAGAACATGTAATTGTAAGATTTTGGTAGTCACTGCTATCACTCTAGCTAGGGAATCCAGAGAGATGTACCGGTTTACACAGGAGAGTAGGTTAATTAAACAGTAGTACAGGCAGGAGAAGGTTAACAATCATTGTCACAACAGTCTAATGTTTAATGAGTTCACTGTAAGCACTGAGGATCAACACATTTCACAATAGTGGGTAGACATGTCAGTGTTAGTAAGGCTAAGATCTGTTTACCTAAAGTTATATACCATACTTTAAACAGGACGAATTGCAGAAATAGACAAAAAACATCATCAAATATCGTTCATAAACTACTTCCATGTGGAACTGGACAACCCAAACTAAGTGGTCCACAAAACTGGATGACTCGTAACCGAAAAGGCCAAATAAATATACTATGATATGCATGATTTGAAGTGATTGTTTGTTGTCTCAACTCTACCAAAGACCAAACAAAATCACATGCAATGACCAAGAAATACTGTTTTAGATGTGTTATTATGAACTGATAACCTGAAACATGTTTAGTAATTTCAGTCACTTCTGAAAAGTATCTGTTCAACTACAGCATATTGATTAAACGGATTAAGCATGTTCTCAAGTAAGACTTTGTTGATTTGTGTTTACAAACATTAGTAGTCCAAATTTTGGGATGAGTCATCAGTATTTGGGTATGGGTTGAGCAAAAATGTTATAAATGCTCCAAAACAGGTACAAATTTGACAAGAATTTTAGGTCAAGTTAGCCACTTTCTTTGGGAACATATCTCTGTATATATGGAATAGTTTAGTATCCCTTCCATGTACTACAGCTGTGATGTTGGGTCATGTCTTGACTACAACCTGGGACGCTATTATAGCTCTTGGCCACTCTCTTTACTGCCATGTTAGGAAAGATATTAAATCAACAAAGCAAATATAAGTAAATCAGATCAAAATGTAATTACCAGATATGATTTCTTTCATCTGTGAATCCATTTACAATTACATGTACTAACAGAAAATAGTATTTTAGATAATGTTTCAAATAATTTTACATGTCATTTTTACATGCATTGTTTTTTAATGCTTGTATCATGGCCCCAAGTATTCTGATGCATAGTAAGTATATGGGTAATCATTACACCCCTAGTACTTGAACCCAGTTAGTAATAGAGTAGTCTGCTTGAGGTGAGTGAGTGAGTTTAGGTTTACATATACTGAGCAATATTCCAGCTATATGACAGCAGTCTGTAAATAATCAAGTCTGGACTAGACAATTCAGTGATCAACAGCATGAGCATTGATCTACGCAATTGGGATACAATGACATGTGCCAACCAAGTCAGCGTGCTTGTCTACCCGATCCCGCTAGTTGCCTCTTATGACAAGCATGGGTTGCTGAAGATCAATTCTTACCCTGATCTTCACGTGTCTGCTGGAAGTGTTACAATGGGATCCTCTGTGTGGTGTGTATACAATATGTCGTCTTTACAGTGTGTACCTGTACCCAGTGCCAGAGGGGAAGAGTGGTCAGCAAGTAGTGGACACCCTCCAGCGACAGACAGAGCAGCTTGGAGCAGTGAAGGCAGGCAATTTCTGTGTGGACTGTGAAACTTTCCAATCTACTTTCCAACAAGGAGGTATGGTCAAAATATTAGGATATGAAACCTTGCTATTTAGAGCGAATGTTATTCAGTACAACAGTTTGCATATTTACTTCAAGGGGGTAGATATGTCATCAAGTCCAGTCCAGAGAAACTACTGACTGATAGATTCAGCAACTGTCAGTGTTTGATGAAAGATTCAAACTAAACATGTCTGGTCAGACATTCTCTCCACTCAAACATCATCTGAGATGATGATCTGAGTTGAGTTTTACGCCGCAGTCAGCAATATTCACGCTATATGGCAGCGGTCTGTAAATAATCAAGTCTGGAAAAGATAATCCAGTGATCAACAGCATGAGCATCGATCTGCGCAATTGGGAACTGGTGACATGTGTCAACCAAGTCAGCAATCCTGACCACCCGATCCCGTTAGTCGCCTCTTACGACAAGCATGGGTTACTGAAGGCCAATATTCTAAGCCGGACCTTCACAGGTTTAATAGGGACTTGATCTGCTCCAGTATTTCACAACAAATAGGCGAATATGATGTGTATCACAATTAAAGGATAATGAACACATCCTTACAGGATGTGTAACCAAATACAAAATGTACTCCAAATATAGTTTCATACGAGTCAAAGCTGATGCAACAGTTCAGAGGTACAGATAAGCTGCGTATCTGCGTAAATTACGCAAATATTTTTGTGAAAACTCAATTCCTATTAGGTCTATTTTGTACAGGTACGCTTGAATTTTTGTAAATACTCAATAAATTTGATCTTACATGCGTACACACATAAATGTCAAATCTTAGCTTGCGTACCGGTGCATAGATAAAATAACAGGTCATGCTGTTGATCACTAGATTGTCTGGTCCAGACTCGATTATTTACATATCGCGGCTATATGGCTGGAATATTGCTGAGTGCAGCAGTAAACAACAAACAAACAAATCATATCCAAGTAATATACACTGAATGTTTGAGTGATGCATGGGTTATGTTTACACTGAATGTTTGAGTGATGCATGGGTTATGTTTACACTGAATGTTTGAGTGATGCATGGGTTATGTTTACACTGAATGTTTGAGTGATGCATGATGCATGGGTTATGTTTACACTGAATGTGATGCAGTGAATGTTTGATGATGCATGGGTTATGTTTACACTGAATGTGTGAGTGATGCATGGGTTATGTTTACACTGAATGTGTTTGAGTGATGCATGGGTTATGTTTACACTGAATGTTTGAGTGATGCATGGGTTATGTTTACACTGAATGTGTTGAGTGATGCATGGGTTATGTTTACACTGAATGTTTGAGTGATGCATGGGTTATGTTTACACTGAATGTTTGAGTGATGCATGGGTTATGTTTACACTGAATGTTTGAGTGATGCATGGGTTATGTTTACACTGAATGTTTGAGTGATGCATGGGTTATGTTTACACTGAATGTTTGAGTGATGCATGGGTTATGTTTACACTGAATGTTTGAGTGATGCATGGGTTATGTTTACACTGAATGTTTGAGTGATGCATGGGTTATGTTTACAGCCCAACAGAAACAGTTGAGCATCCTTCACAACAGTGAATATCCAGCCACATGTTTCGCCATCTTGGACTCGGGGACGAGTCTGGTGGCAGACGATCTGTTTGATGGACTGGTGCAGAAGCTCAAGAACTACTACCAGCAAAGGAAAGGATTCAAAATTGAATCAAAGGGACAGAGATACGAGTTGGGGGACTTTGTCATAAAGATCGGCTCTGTGACACTGACATCGAATTTCAAAGGAATTTTAGTTGAGGTAAAGTTTTGGACCTTTTGTAAAGTTTGTGCACATAAGGTATAGATTTCCCTTGAGAGCTAATGTCTAATGGTTCCTGAAACAATTAATAGACCAGTACAAGCAGGTGTTGAATTGACCATAGTGTTAATTCTCATCCGTGCATGGAACACACTTGATAACTTTTATAATGATTTGTGAAAGGTTTGTTCATTCATTAATTATGTATATCTATGGGTTAAACAGGGTCAGTATCATATCTTTTCCTTATGTTTGTGAATAAATTTCCTTTATGGTCAGTTTTTAAACATTTTCATTTTATCAGCTTGTCATATACATGGGCAAAGGCCAGATTGAACCTCTTATTAATACGTAGCAAAATAGGGAAAATATGTTCTCTGCATACAATCATGGATTTTGAATCAAAAGGGACCAAGATGTGATTAGGGATTTTGTTCTATGTGTAACATGTTTCAATATCATTCTGTGTGGGTAGACAATGGTTGTATGTGCTGTGTTTCAGGTGGAGTACTGTCCGTGTGTTGTGTTGTGTTTCAGGTGGAGTACTGTCCGTGTGTTGTGTTGTGTTGTGTTTCAGGTGGAGTACTGTCCGTGTGTTGTGTTGTGTTTCAGGTGGAGTCCTGTCCGTGTTGTGTTGTTTCAGGTGGAGTACTGTCCGTGTGTTGTGTTGTGTTTCAGGTGGAGTACTGTCCGTGTGTTGTGTTGTGTTTCAGGTGGAGTACTGTCCGTGTGTTGTGTTGTGTTTCAGGTGGAGTACTGTCCGTGTGTTGTGTTGTGTTTCAGGTGGAGTACTGTCCGTGTGTTGTGTTGTGTTTCAGGTGGAGTACTGTCCGTGTGTTGTGTTGTGTTTCAGGTGGAGTACTGTCCGTGTGTTGTGTTGTGTTTCAGGTGGAGTACTGTCCGTGTGTTGTGTTGTGTTTCAGGTGGAGTACTGTCCGTGTGTTGTGTTGTGTTTCAGGTGGAGTACTGTCCGTGTGTTGTGTTGTGTTTCAGGTGGAGTACTGTCCGTGTGTTGTGTTGTGTTTCAGGTGGAAGTACTGTCCGTGTGCTGTGTTGTGTTTGTGTTGTGTTTCAGGTGGAGTACTGTCCGCGTTGTGTTGTGTTTCAGGTGGAGTACTGTCGATGCGTTGTGGTGTTTCAGGTGGAGTACTGTGCTGTTGTGTTGTGTTTCAGGTGTACTGTCCGTTACTGTCCCATGTTGTGTTGTGTTTCAGGTGGAGTACTGTCCGTGTGTTGTGTTGTGTTTCAGGTGGAGTACTGTCCGTTGTGTTGTGTTTGTGAGTTTCAGGTGGAGTACAGGTGAGTACTGTCCGTGTGTTGTGTTGTGTTTCAGGTGGAGTACTGTCCGTGTGTTGTGTTGTGTTTCAGGTGGAATTACTGTCCGTGTGTTGTGCTGTGTTTCAGGTGGAGTACTGTCCGTGTGTGTTGTGCTGTGTTTCAGGTGGAGTACTGTCCGTGGTGTTGTGCTGTGTTTCAGGTGGAGTACTGTCCGTGTGTTGTGCTGTGTTTCAGGTGGGAGTCGTGTGTTGTGTTGTGTTTCAGGTGGAGTACTGTCCGTGTGTTGTGTTGTGTTTCAGGTGGAGTACTGTCCGGTGGTTGTCTGTGTTGTGTTGCAGGTGGAGTACAGTCCGTGGAGTACTGTTTCAGGTGGAGTACTGTCCGTGTGTTGTGTTGTGTTTCAGGTGGAGTGGTGTGTTGTGCTGTGTTTCCAGGTGGAGTACTGTCCGTGTGTTGTGTGTTTCAGGTGGAGTACTGTCCGTGTGTTGTGTTGTGTTTCAGGTGGAGTACTGTCCATGTGTTGTGCTGTGTTTCAGGTGGAGTACTGTCCGTGTGTTGTGCTGTGTTTCAGGTGGAGTACTGTCCGTGTGTTGTGCTGTGTTTCAGGTGGAGTACTGTCCGTGTGTTGTGTTGTGTTTCAGGTTGTGTGCTGTGTGAGTTGTGCCAGGTTTCAGGTGGAGTACTGTCCGTGGTGTTGTGCTGTGTTTCAGGTGGAGTACTGTCCGTGTGTTGTGTTGTGTTTCAGGTGGAGTACTGTCCGTGTGTTGTGCTGTGTTTCAGGTGGAGTACTGTCCGTGTGTTGTGCTGTGTTTCAGGTGGAGTACTGTCCGTGTGTGTTGTGCTGTGTTTCAGGTGGAGTACTGTCGGTGTGTTGTGCTGTGTTTCAGGTGGAGTACTGTCCATGTGTTGTGTTGTGTTTCAGGTGGAGTACTGTCCGTGTGTGTTGTGCTGTGTTTCAGGTGGAGTACTGTCCGTGTGTTGTGCTGTGTTTCAGGTGGAGTACTGTCCGTGTGTGTTCAGGTGTGTTTCAGGTGGAGTACTGTCCGTGTGTTGTGTGTTGTGTTTCAGGTGGAGTACTGTCCGTGGTGTTGTGTTGTGTTTCAGGTGGAGTACTGTCCGTGTGTTGTGCTGTGTTTCAGGTGGAGTACTGTCCGTGTGTTGTGTTGTGTTTCAGGTGGAGTACTGTCCGTGTGTTGTGTACTGTGTTTCAGGTGGAGTACTGTCCGTGTTGTGTTGTGTTTCAGGTGGAGTACTGTCCATGTGTTGTGTGTTTCAGGTGGTACTGTCCGTGTGTTGTGCTGTGTTTCAGGTGGAGTACTGTCCGTGTGTTGTGCTGTGTTTCAGGTGGAGTACTGTCCATGTGTTGTGCTGTGTTTTTACTGTCCGTGTGGTGGAGTACTGTCCGTGTGTTGTGCTGTGTTTCAGGTGGAGTACTGTCCATGTGTTGTGCTGTGTTTCAGGTGGAGTACTGTCCGTGTGTTGTGCTGTGTTTCAGGTGGAGTACTGTCCATGTGTTGTGCTGTGTTTCAGGTGGAGTACTGTCCGTGCGTTGTTCCGAACGACTGCTGGAACCTGATGAAGGAGCTGCTACAGAGCATCTTGGGTAGCAGCATCACGGACAACCCGCCATCTTACCTCAAGTCCAAGATGGACATTTTGTACTCCACAACCGACACTATGAGTCAGTATCTGGAACACTTCAACAACATCCGGAAGTCAGCATCAACAACAGGGTCTACAACACCGCCGACTATGATATCGCGGTAGAATGCTGCACATTTCTAAGGATTCCTTTGCTGTAGGTGCTTTAAATGGCGACCAATTGGCCAAATATGGTGCATACAACTTCAGCAAGCAAGCTGGAAGACTGAGAAGATTCAGCCTGTTGACAAAGCACATCAGTATTCGCTTATACTGAGGTTAAAAACTGTGGATGTTCTTTGCGTTGGTGCAGCCCATGTTGGATGTGTTGATGTAGCCTGTGCCTCATTCAACAATGCGATCTCAGCACTACAACGTCCCAAAAGCAGTGTTATGTTATGGGAGTTATGATCACCTTAGAGCAATGATCGCTTTGTGGAATGGGCCCAACACTTGCAGAATAATGGTGAAGAACACATCCCTTGATGCAGGATATTGATGACAGCCTGACTTACATTTCCCACATGGGACATGATACTGTTACAGTTCCTGTCAGTGTAAAGAAGGTGTTAGGGGATGAGTATCTAGACAGTAACATGGATTAGTTGACCAGTGGCTGTCAGGTATAGGGTGTGGCGAACTAGCTGGATGGACACAGTCTCAACTGTAGGTAGTCTGTCTAGAATGTTTTGTTATTTAGTTCAAAGTGAAAATGAACATCAATCTGTTGGCCCACGACCAGCAAAAAGTAAGGACAAGGCATTTATTTGGTAGGATTGCAATCCCATACCAAATAGGGGGTGGTGGGGTAGCCTAGTGGTTAAAGTGTTCTCTCACCACGCTGAAGACCCGGGTTTGATTCCCCACATGGGTACTATGTGTGAAGCCCATTTCTGGTGTCCCAGATTTTGCTGGAATATTATTAAAAGCGGCCTAAAACTAAACTCACTCACTCACTGCTGACCATTCCATTAAAATGTTGCTTTAGATTATATGGTTCTCATAAGAAGTTAGGGTTCACCCATATCTTTAAAACTGATGATGGTTAACTTGTCATGGTGGGTGGGTAATGCAACACTACCTTCCAGCTGACTGTTCCTTAATTTGTTTTCGTAGTATATTTTAGCAATACTTGTACTGTGTTTATTTGTGAAATCTTAATGTGGAGAGCACAATGTGAGTTTTCTCCCTTATCTTAAAGTGGATGTGCCGAATGACATGTTTATGATAAGTCAACATAACATGGCCAAGACAAAAAGATCAAGGAGGTGAATAAATGTTTTTTTATGAATTATTGAAAATGTTTTGTCTTTTTTGTAAGTCAAAGTATTGATTAGATTAACTCTAAGAATCTGTACCACACTATACAGCACCTGTTCCCACATGATACAGCATCTGTTCTTCTCTCTCTCTCTCTCTCAATATCAACAAATAAAAGGTACTTCAATACAAGTGTCTTTCAGTCTACTCCGCAAAAAACGAACCACACTGCACCTCACCTCACCCAAAGATATTGAAAATTTATAAAATGTCACATTGTTGTAGAATTTCTTCAGCGATAGTTATAAAAAACAGCGTGTAGGAAATACTTTAACTCAAAACAATGCTACTGGAATTCCTAATGATAAAGAACCTTGTAGAACATATCAAGTTCACAACCCTTATGTGTGAAGTTAACCCAGACAGCTCCTCTCTCGAAGAAGACGTGTTTTATCTTACAGTATCTTTGTAATCCAATTATCTGATCAGTTTATTGAGGAGCCGACATCTAATAGTCAAACTTGATTCAATGGATAATGTTTCATGTTTTCACAGTTTCTAGCTCAACTAACTAACCTGTCAAGCTCCTTGACAAAATGCGCGATTATTTCAATAAAGCAAGGTTATTGGTGTTGGCCCCAACCCACCGCACTACCCTGGAAGATGGACATTCAAGGAGGGAACTGTGCGAGAAATTCTGTTGCCTGAGGCACGGATATTTAGTTCCGTACACTGATGGCTGGGAAAAACTCGTCCATGTCTTTCAGTACATGATACACAGTAAAATACAGTTTACTCTCGCCAAGTGGACTTTGGAGGGACCGGGGCAAAAGCGTCCAGTTATCAGCCCTTGAGATCTGAAGACTCAGTTGCTGTATTGTGATACCCAACGACAGCAGTTAAAGACCTAGTTATGGTAGAATATATTAAACAGAAATCCTGAAATCCTCTTGCGTGCATTTGAGACTCAAGACAGATGATACGCTTCTTTTGTGTTTCACTGAATCCCTCAGAATTGACTGATGGTTTTCAACTGCCCACATTTATAGGAATTACTAAATATACTGAGGAAAAAAAATAAGGGATCACATGAAAGCACAAATGTTCCTTTATTTGTTTCCAGGTTTCTTCACAAGCTATCGCATATATGCGATACAACGCTTGTGAAGAAACCTGGAAAAAAAATATAGGAACACTTGTGCTTTCATGTGATCCCTTATTTTTTCCCCCTCAGTATATATTGTAAAACATCCTGTACTCGGGTAGCAATTACCCTACACAGTTTGATTTCCATAGTCTTTGTACTGTAACCATAACAACATGCTGTAATAGACAAGGCATGGGTTATTGTTAACACCAACCATTTTGCTGTGTTTGAGTTTATAACTCAATGATCAATGCCTTGAGGTTAAAACATGTACCTGTTTAGCCACAAGGTAGATTAATAAAGACATGCTATTAAATATACTTTTTTATTTATTTAAATCAATACAAACGTTTACTACTATAGATTTTGAAAGCTGTTGAACAGTGTTTCTGAAACTGATAGCATAAATGTAAGGTAAACCTTTCTGTAACATAAAATATTAAAGAAGTTTGAATTATAAAGGGTCTGGATGTCCAGTTATGTGGAGAAAATTACGACATAAAGTCACTGTGCAGACCAAAAAAGGGCCCAGTTTGAGAGATTGTCCAGTTATGTGGAGTACACTGTCTTAATCGAACTATTTTGATATTTTAAAGGCAACAGATTTTGAGAAACGAAGGGTATTATATGTCGACGATATTACTTTGACGGCACATGTGAAGGCCGGTGGAAGTCAATGGGCTTATGAAAGTACAAAACCGTTTCTGTGTGACTGATTATGTAAGTGACTTGTAGTTGTATATAGATGTCCGGTTGTCAGAAGTTCACAGCTAGGATCTAGAAGCTACAGCAGACCCGACTATGTCTCCGAGATAAGGATTCAGCGAGTAAACCCATTTCATGTATCACTGATGCCTCTACATTACACAGTGTTGTGTTGGGCCGTTTATTCTCCAAATTCTACTTCAGTATTCTCCGAGATTCAAAGAGCGGCCCGTGTTTTACAATAGAAACAAATAAAAGTCTCCTGGGGTAGTTTTAGACTGATTACGCACCGGATCGGTCAAGTACCATCCCGTATGACGAACGATGCCTTCCACGGGAAGTGACGTCATAGACGGCCCCGTTTAGTTACGCCTTCATTGTCAGCGCATCGCCGCCTTGTTCGTACGTCTTATTGCTGCCGCTGTTGTTCCACGTCGTTTTAGGCGTTGTTTTCTCTATTGGTCGATACGAGGTAGGTGTCAAGTCTCGTAATATATGTGTAATGCCAGTGTGTAGACGATTCAGAATATTTTTACGACGGTTTTTGTGAACTTGCAGCTGTAAGTTATGCATGAAATCGGGGATTCGAACACGGACCCTGTGGCTTCTGCTTACGTTTCTCATTCTGCATTCTAATGGAATATCGAAGGGAAATTATGGCGGGCGATGGCAGACACAGTGTATGACTTTGAGTAATTGAGTTTAGTTTTACGCCGCACTCATCAGTATTCCAGCTATATGGCGGCAGTGTATTACTTTGGATATGATATCATACATATTTTGTTTTATTTCTCGACAGCACTGAAAAGAAGATGATCTTCCTGCACGGTCTGGCTTTAGCCGTATATGAATTTCAGAGATACCTCAAATACCGCGGTGGTAGGTATTTGTTACATGTATGCTGTTTGTAAAGAATAAAGTCATTTCGTAAAGAATAAATATATTTTTGTTTTGCTGACTGTTTAACGTCACACTCAGTAATATGCAGCTACACCATGGCAGTCAGTGATTTACCTGATCCATGTAACCTCTTGCATCAAATATCGGTTACTGTATCTCGGATAAATAGCTGAACTCGACTCGCTAGATGTAATAGGTCAGCTGATCATCTACTGCACTGTTTCCCGATCAACCAATATCTGTAGTTTTACACTGGGTTTGGTGGACGGGATTAGCCAACAGAACAATATCATTTGTTGTTTCTGTGAAATACTTAAAATCCACATATCTTGCTGAAGATTCGTTCAAGAGACAAAAGAAAGAAGCAATAAATAGGATTATAGTATAAAGTCAAAAGGTATCTGGGTTAGTTTGATACACAAGAGCAAGACTTTCAATCTGACCTTAACATTCTGAGTACCTGATCGCCTGAACTACAATCGTTCCCCCAACAGATCAGAGAGTAGAGATGCTGAAGCGGGAGGCAGATCAGCAAGCCGCTGAGGCGTACGCCGCCCAAGAAAAACTAATGGTTGACAATGCAATGGAGGCTGACAGATTGGCCGTAGCTGCTGCTGTAGAGAAGGCCGAGGCTGCTACTGCTGCAGCAGATGTTGGGTATGCCGCCTGGAAGGAAGCTCTGATTTTTGCAGCTCTGGCGGCAGAGAGAGTGTCGGCATATTCCTCGGAGAACGCTGGGACACCTGAAACGTTGGAGGTGAAGATATTGGAGGCAGTGGCATTGGAGAAGGCCCACAATTATGCAACGCTGGAGGAGGCGAGAGCAGCTGCAGCTCTTGCCATGGAGAAGTTCCAGGCTGCTGCAGCTGTTACTGACCTCTCCAGTGGTGAGGACGCTGCAGCTGCTGTTGCAGCCTCCAATGCCGACACCGTTCCAGGTAGGAAATGTGGATTCAGTATACACAATAGAAACCGTTAGATATTTTCTTGAATGTCAGTGCTTTTCAACATGGTCGCAGATATTCCTTCAATTATGTTGTCTCACGACAGTGGCTAAAATCCGGTTATATTTTCTTTCGGCCAAACAGGACAAACCCAAGAAGAAGGGCATCTTCGGAGGCATGAAGACTGGCTTCATGCTGTAAATGCTGCTTTCTGATTGGTCCTCGGCAGTCTACCCCATCCTTTCATGACCCACGCGCATGTCCTCCACTAACGGCCTTGACCCTGATTGAAATCGTATCGTGCGATAAACGTTTTCCTCTGTGTACTGAACTCTTCTGATCTAATGTTGGAGAGCTCCATAAATTTGAGGCTGATGGGTATAGGGTTTTACAATATTAACTTGTAATCGTAATTTCATATCATAGATTTCGATTTATCTCTAAGATCTCAATGGAGACTGTGAGATACATGCATATGCGGACCAGCAGGAACACTGCCATGTTGTCACGGGTGTGTGCGGGTGTGTTGGTTCAATCCGGACTAGAACCTACTTCAGTTGTACAGAGCATGTGGCCACTGGTTGTCAAACAGATGATTAGATCAGCTCAGTGCCAGAGTGGGTGTGGCAGTTGGCCAGACCAATAGCAGCGTGAGAGGAAATTGGTGAAGTCCTAGACAGGCGTTGGGTGAAGTGCTATGGAGGTGGGTGTTGCGATGTTAGAGACATGGATGGATGAGGTGCTTCAGAAGGGTCGATAAGGTGTTAGGGAAGTGGTGGGTGAGGTGTTAGGGAAGTGGTTGGTGAGTAGTTACGAAAGTGTTATGTGAGGTGTTAAGGAAGTGGTACCAAAGTGTCACCTCTCTAGTGTTGTGTTCCAAAAGACACCAGTGTCACCTCTCTAGTGTTGTGTCCAGAAGACACCAGTGCCACCTCTCTAGTGTTGTGTTACAATACACCGGTGTCAGCTCTCTGGTGCTGTCTCAGAGACACACGTCTCACCTCTCTAGTGTTGTCTCAGTGATCCCAGTGTTGTGTTCCAAAGACCCAAGTATCACCTCTCTAGTGTTGTGTTGCAAACACCTCAGTATCACCTCTCTAGTGTTGTGTCCCAAATACCCCAGTGTCACCTCTCTAGTGTTGTGTTCCAAAGACACGTGTCACCTCTCTAGTGTTGTGTCCCAAAGACACCAGCTGCCACCTCTCTAGTGTTGTGTGTTCCAAAGACACCAGTGCCAACTCTCTAGTGTTGTGTCCAAAAGACACCAGTGTCACCTCTCTAGTGTTGTGTTCCAAATACCCCAGTGTCACTTCTCTAGTGTTGTGTCCCAAAGACACCAGTGTCACCTCTCTAGTGTTGTGTCCCAAAGACACCAGTGTCACTTCTCTAGTGTTGTGTCCCAAAGACGCCAGTGTCACCTCTCTAGTGTTGTGTCCCAAAGACACCAGCTGTCACCTCTCTAGTGTTGTGTGTTCCAAAGACACCAGTGCCAACTCTCTAGTGTTGTGTCTCAAAGACACTTGTGTCACCTCTCTAGTCATTCGAGTGTCTCCAGTGTTGTGTTCCAAAGACACCAGTGTCACCTCTCTAGTGTTGTACCCAAAGACACCAGTGTCACCTCTCTAGTGTTGCCCTATAAGACACCAGTGTCACCTCTCTTTGTTGTGTTCCAAAGACACCAGTGTCACCTCCTCTAGTGTTGTGTTCCAAATCCGAGCTTGCCAGTGTCAACAGCTAGTTTAAACGGTCCAGATAATTTAAGAAGTGAAAGTTAGTTCTCTAGTGTTGTGTCCCAAAGACACCTGAGTGTCACCTCTCCAGTGTTGTGTCCAAAAAATCAGTGTCAAAAGCCGTGGATGCTGTGTTGTGGTATAGACACCAGTCTCACCTCTCTAGTGTGTGTCCCAAAGACACCAGTGTCACCTCTCTAGTGTTGTGTCCCAAATACCCCAGTGTCACCTCTCTAGTGTTGTGTTCCAAAGACACCAGTGTCACCTCTCTAGTGTTGTGTCCCAAAGACACCAGTGTCACCTCTCTAGTGTTGTGTTCCAAAGACACCAGTGTCACCTCTCTAGTGTTGTGTTCCAAAGACACCAGTGTCACCTCTCTAGTGTTGTGTTCCAAAGACACCAGTGGCACCTCTCTAGTGTTGTGTCTCAAAGACACCAGTGTCACCTCTCTCCAGTGTTGTGTCCCAAAGACACCAGTGTCACCTCTCTAGTGTTGTGTCCCAAAGACACAAGTGTCACCTCTCTAGTGTTGTGTTCCAAAAAGACACAGTGTCACCTCTCTAGTGTTGTGTTCCAAAGACACCAGTGTCACCTCTCTAGTGTTGTGTTCCAAAGACACCAGTGTCACCTCTCTAGTGTTGTGTTCCAAAGACACCAGTGTCACCTCTCTAGTGTTGTGTTCCAAAGACACCAGTGTCACCTCTCTGGTGTTGTGTTCCAAAGACACCAGTGTCACCTCTCTAGTGTTGTGTCCAAGTGACACCAGTGTGTCACCTCTCTAGTGTTGTGTTCCAAAGACCCAGTGTCACCTCTCTAGTGTTGTGTTCCAAAGACACCAGTGTCACCTCTCTAGTGTTGTGTCCCAAATACCCCAGTGTCACCTCTCTAGTGTTGTGTTCCAAAGACACCAGTGTCACCTCTCTAGTGTTGTGTCCCAAAGACACCAGCTGCCACCTCTCTAGTGTTGTGTGTTCCAAAGACACCAGTGTCACCTCTCTAGTGTTGTGTCCCAAAGACACCAGTGTCACCTCTCTAGTGTTGTGTTCCAAAGACACCAGTGTCACCTCTCTAGTGTTGTGTCCCAAAGACACCAGTGTCACCTCTCTAGTGTTGTGTCCCAAAGACACCAGTGTCACTCTCTAGTGTTGTGTCCCAAAATTCACCAGTGTCACCTCTCTAGTGTTGTGTTCCAAAGACACCAGTGTCACCTCTCTAGTGTTGTGTTCCAAAGACACCAGTGCCACCTCTCTAGTGTTGTGTCCCAAAGACACCAGTGTCACCTCTCTCACCTCTCTGTGTCCCATCACTCCAGTGTATCTCTCTAGTGTTGTGTTCCAAAGACGACCACTCCTCCACTTGTTGTCCCAAAGACCTGGAGTGCATCCTCTCTAGTGTTGTGTCCCAAATAATTATATTACCTCTCTAGTGTTGTGCTCCGCATTGTCACAAAGCCAACACCCAAGCCGCCACATCTCGTTGTGTTGCCAGTGTCACAGCTAGTTTAAAAGACACACCAGTGTCAATTCTCTAGAAGTGTTGTGTCCCAAACACACCAGTGTCGCTCCTCTTCTAGTGTTGACACCAAAGACACCAGTGTCACCTCTCTCTAGTGTTGTGTGTCCCAAATAAACCAGTGTCAACTCTAAAAAGTGTTGTGATCCCACACCAGTGTCACCTCTCTAGTGTTGTGTCCCCGTATACCCCAGTGTCACGAGTCTCTAGTGTTGTGTCCCAAATACCCCAGTGTCACCTCTCTAGTGTTGTGTTCCAAAGACACCAGTGTCACCTCTCTAGTGTTGTGTCCCAAAGACACCAGTGTCACCTCTCTAGTGTTGTGTTCCAAAGACACAAGTGTCACCTCTCTAGTGTTGTGTTCCAAAGACACCAGTGTCACCTCTCTAGTGTTGTGTTCCAAAGACACCAGTGTCACCTCTCTAGTGTTGTGTCCCAAAGACACCCACCTCTCTAGTGTGTGTTCCAAAGCCAAGACACCAGTGCTAGTGTTGCACCTCTCCAGTGTTGTGTTCCAAAGACACCAGTGTCACCTCTCTAGTGTTGTGTTCCCAAAGACACACCAGTGTCACCTCTCTAGTGTTGTGTCCCAAAGACACCAGTGTCACCTCTCTAGTGTTGTGTTCCCAAAGACACCAGTGTCACCTCTCTAGTGTTGTGTTCCAAAGACACCAGTGTCACCTCTCTAGTGTTGTGTTCCAAAGACACCAGTGTCACCTCTCTAGTGTTGTGTTCCAAAGACACCAGTGTCACCTCTCTAGTGTTGTGTTCCAAAGACACCAGTGTCACCTCTCTCTAGTGTTGTGTCCCAAAGACACCAGTGTGTCACCTCTCTAGTGTTGTGTTCCCAAAGACACCAGTGTCACCTCTCTAGTGTTGTGTTCCAAAGACACCAGTGTCACCTCTCTAGTGTTGTGTTGTCCAAAGACACACCAGTGTCACCTCTCTAGTGTTGTGTTCCAAAGACACCAGTGGCACCTCTCTAGTGTTGTGTTCCAAAGACACAAGTGTCACCTCTCTAGTGTTGTGTTCCAAAGACACCAGTGTCACCTCTCTAGTGTGTTGTGTTCCAAAGACACCAGTGTGTCACCTCTCTAGTGTTGTGTTCCAAAGACACCAGTGTCACCTCTCTAGTGTTGTGTTCCAAAGACACAAGTGTCACCTCTCTAGTGTTGTGTCCAAAGACACCAGTGTCACCTCTCTAGTGTTGTGTCACCAAAGACACCAGTGTCACCTCTCTAGTGTTGTGTTCCCAAAGACACCAGTGTCACCTCTCTAGTGTTGTGTTCCAAAGACACCAATGTCACCTCCTCTCTAGTGTTGTTCCAAAGACACCAGTGTCACCTCTCTAGTGTTGTGTTCCAAAGACACCAGTGTCACCTCTCTAGTGTTGTGTTCCAAAGACACCAGTGTCACCTCTCTAG